AGAGAGAGGGAAAATATGCTTGCAGTACAGTACATTCAAGGAAAATCGTAACAACAAATATAAAAAGCTTGTGCCAACAACAAGTCAGCGCCAGTATTTTACTGTAAACGTCGGGTAACTATTTATAATTTTTTATGTTTTAAACTGAAAAACGATTAAATTACAGATTTTTACTGATCTGTTTAGCTATTTTGAAGTGAACATTCTAATAAATTACGATTTCAACTTTTAAAAGTTTGCAAACAAATTTTTAATTAGTTATTTTTTATTCTAATAAACAATTTCATCTTTTTATAATCGCTGAATTATTAAAATTAAAAATTAAACACTATTACATAAAAGTAGTTTATCCTTTTATTAATCCACAACTGTAAAATTATATGGTTTCAGAACGGTGAAAAAAACCATTTCAAAATGGATTCTGGTGTATTTTCTTATTAAAGATTGCAGCATTACTTCTTGCCGCCTGCAGATGGCTATGATTGGTCATCCATATTCAGCAAACGAGATCAACAACGCAATTAAGGAGACAAATTCCCTGACTTTTTGACAATTTTCGACAAATTCCCTGACTTTTTCCATACACTAATAAAAATCCCAGACTTTCCCTGATTTTCCAGGTGCGTAGGAACCCTGTATGTATTAATTTGTTCTTATGGAAATACATAAAAAAATCAGGCATTTATGCCACCACTATCTGCCAGCTTGCACAAACCAATATGTCAGATTTCTGTGGCTGCTGAATCCATCATATGAGACATGTCAACCAGGAATTTGACTGTAGATCAGATGAGTATCAGATTACAAAGGGTGTCACATTGAGCACTTGTATCTGAGACAAAAACCGGCTGAGACACTCAAATCACATAGATTTGATATTGTATACCAGAGAGAAATTAATCATTAAAACCCCAACATAAAATACAGTTAGTAAAAATCTGACATCTGTCTTTACTCCTTTTATTAACTCTTGTCAGAAAGTCAAAACATTGAGTTTACTAAATGTTTTTGTTCTGAGTAAACCAGTTTAAATTTTATTTATACTTCAAAGGGTTATTAAGCTAGCCTGTGAAGCAACTTACAATAAAATGTAAACTCCAAATGAGGGGTTTTCCACCCCCAGAGTTGTAGACCCCCTGTATAAGCAAAACAGTCAAAGAAACCATACCTGTATACGCAACCCTTCACGTATCTGCCTCTACAGGTCACTTTTTACCATGTATCAGTATACTGCCTATTCTCCTAACTCCGACACTCCACACAGGATGAGCCCACGCATTCCCCTAAAATACATAACTTCAAATACTCCACAAACTGTCGAGTGGGCTACCCGAAGCCAGCATAGAAGCATGGGCTAAATAGTTACATAAAAAGTCTTAAGTCGTGGTCACACCTTACAATGTCCAGCTGCGCAGACAACCACAACTGCAACAAGCGTGAAATGTGCACATCTTGTCTTGTTCATTGATGTTGCAATTCGGAAACATGTGCCCTTATAATAAACCAGCATCCACTTCCTCTGCTACATTTTTTTCTTTAATGCAAACAAATATCATTGGCAAATAGTGGTAATTTCTACTTAGTTCTTTAGCTATATTTAAAATAATATTGTCATTACTAAACTAAATACAACCAACGTTTTATATCCAGAAATCTAAAAATGATACTTGCAATCAATGGCAAGACTTTTGCTTATCTCACACCATGCCTGTGTTCTTTTCTACAATAAAATGAAGAATTAAAACTCCATACACATTCATGAGCCCGAATAAGCTCGATCAACCTCGATTCTAATGCTGTACCAATCAGTATTTTCATTTACTGCCACAAAGTTAACTATTTTCAAAGTTGCCACTGTGTGACGTGGCACAAAGGCATTTGCTGGTTCAATGCACATTTGCAATTGATGTGAGTAGAACAAACTTTTTGTTTCTAGTTGCAGTTGCAGTCGTGCTAATTTTTGAAGGACATTTACTGGTTAACGCAAACAGCCCTTGCAGTTGCAGTTGCCTATGCAGCTGGAAATTGCAAGGGTAACCACAACCTTAGAGAAACAATACAACTCACAATTGAATGCAATGCGATTTTGTGGAGCAATATCTTGCAGAAGGTAACACGTAGAATACAATTCCTTTTCGCTCCTACGGGTAGTCTACAGCTCCAATAAGGTCCCAAGCATCTCATTCAGAGGTATAATTGTACTCTATTTCCTCTACTATTACAAGTTGATTATGTGAAATTAAGATTTATTAATACCAAAATTTATGTTACAAAACCGCTCATTTAGAATATTAATTGACACATCTTATTAATGAAACAAGAAAAACAAGTCACGCACTTGTGTATAATCACCAAAATTTGTTAAGACATCTAAAAATTAATTGATACTTACTAACACTTAAAAGCACCAATTTCCTTCCCTGTAAAGTAAATAATTTAAAAATTAATTAAAAGAATGACATTTCTCATTATTTTCTCTATTACCAATCTTACACTGTAAGTATGAAATGATTTTCCAACGCAAGTAATAATCAGATTTTCCTTTCTTCTTTTAATATATCTGATTTGTAATGGCACATGATTAGTAACAAATCCCAATGCACGATATCCAACAAATATTTTACTAGGTTTTCGCATTTCAAAAACTAAACTCGAAAAATGCTTCTTGATTCGTTAAATCTAATAAACCTTTTTAAATTCTCGGCTAAACCATTAATTTATGCACGCTATCGACCACGTCTTCTTCCTGACATTCGTACAGCTCCAAATTTCACACACGTGTATCAACAACGTGCTTTCTCTCGTAAAGTGTTGCCAGATGTAAACATTTTCATCAAAAAAATTATACTGTATTACAATCGAGTTTAATTATCTTAAACGCCATTAATTAAAGTTATTCCGAACGCCTTTTTTCTAATCGAATCCACAAAATAAAAATTATTATAAAAATGTATTACATTTTAATATTTTAAAAAATAGTATTTTCAAATAATTTAATTTATTGATAAGGTAACCAGAATTTTCAGCATATGGCACACGTTTTTTTTCTTACTCTTTCTGCTCTGTGGGCACTAAGAGGGCCTCTTATAGCAGGCCCATTATTGGTTCGGCCAGGTCCACATTGGGGCGACCGGGTGGTGAGGGACGGGGCCCGACATATCCGAACGGACCATCCACCGAAAAATTCCTGGAGATTCCTTGACTCGTCAGGATTCGATCCCGGGTCCCCCAGAGCGGTAGGATGCCACCTTGACCTCTCGGCCATCCGGCCGTCATATGGCACACGTTACGGAACCCGTAGCGGGTTCGGCCAGGCTTTCAATGAGGAGGCCGGGTGGTGAGGGACAGTTTTATATAATGTAATATCTTTAATTAACACGTTCATATTGTTGTTTATATAACTAAATCAAGGCACATGGAATTATTTACATCAAACATCTTTCATCCGCACAGGTTCGATTTACAGGTGTTTTATCGCTTGATAACAAAACAAGGCAATTTAAATACATGGTTACTTATATAATACAAATTAATATATAAATATTCGAAGTTTTGTAGCTGAGTTTTTTTTAACAGCGTATTAAAATATGAATTCATTTTAAATAATTTTGTGTATTGTATTTTTCATTCCTAACATGATGCAACCAGACCAGAGCCAAATGAAATTAGATTTCTGCTGAAAAAGTTCACTTAATAGACTAGTAATATAAGTTTTATGAGTGTTTTAACTTTTATGCTTTGGGGCTCGCTAATTCTGATAATAATAAACAACTGCTAAGACCGTCTGTGATTACAGTAAGCGAATTAAACTATACTTGGTCGCGTGACGCTACCTTCTCCATTGTACTAAGATCTATTGAATATCATACCGAATACAGGAATTTTTAGAAAGGTGTAATTAAATTAGAATCTAATGAGTTAATCTTTTGTAAATGTCAGCAATTAAAATCGTGTACGGGAGCTAAGTAAACTGATGTTCCGATTGATTGCTAACAGATGCCATCACAGCAAACTGACATTTACGTATAATTTATAATTAACACAGATGTTTTGAAGCCGTAGAACTATTTCAACTTTAGATTTAAAAGTAAAATTAAAAATGTTCGATATTAATTTTATTATTTTATTTTCTAAAAAGAAAATAAAATGATAATAGTTCTCCCAAGGCACCAAAAGGATCAGTTTAATTGTAAACCAAATATCTATCGAATTTATCACTAAATTAGTTAATTTTAATAAGTATTTGATTTAAGTTCTTCAAAATTTTCATATCTTTTAATGGGAACCATTTTGTTTTCTTTAAAAATGGCGACCGTCTTAATAATAGTTTAATTTGTGTTAGGGGCCTTACAAGTAGATATTATTAGTTGCGGCGTACAGATGTTCCTAAATGAATGCCGTTCGTTCGCCATCTTGTTTTATTTTCTTTTTACAGATGTTTAAAAATTTTGCTTTACGATAGAAAATGGCAAACAGTTGTTGAAATTTTATTTATAAGCAATTTTATAAAACTGTTTTATCGAGCAGATTTATTATAAAATACTAGAAATCTTAAAAATAACTCAAAGACGTCTGATATTTGTATTTGTGTTATAAAAAGACGTCTTTATATTTGTAGACGAAAAGTAAAATATGAATAGTTTCTACGTATAGATTTATGTAGAGGAGTTAAATTAAACTTACGAATACTGTATTTAATTCAGAACGGGTTATTGTTTCCTGTTCTCGGTGGAACAGAATAAGGCAATATAACACAAGGTCAATATGGCACGAGATGGTGCCTCCCGAAAGAATTTCTATAGAAAATTAGTCAGTATTTAGGTAAAATATTACGTGAAAAGAACTGAGAAAATTCCGCGTGGTCAGCCCATTGTCAAAGAACGAACCCACGACCGTCCACTCGGTCATTTGTGTCATGGTCTCTGTTTAACCGATGAAAGTACACCCAATATACTTTTCTTCGTATCTCTACTTTAAATTTTCGATAAAAATAAGTAAAAATATGGGAGAATAACTGTTTTCACGCTTATTAAGTTACTTAATTGTAAAATAATCTCGTTTTAATTATCATTAATTCGTGTTCATGCCATAGAAACAAATATTTTATAATTTCGAACCATCTTCCCAACGTTTTCGTGTTCGAAAGTTTATGGTTTCTAAAACTCGAGACACAATATAAGAATGTTGCTCGAAAACTACTCGTTGGAAAACTGCATACTTCAATTCGCGTTATACTGAGTTACATAAACACTTCAAATGACAGATGTGTTAAATTACGTAGTTTCACCTGATTAATATATAAAAGCTAGTTCTGCAGCGAAAATTCATGCTGAGATCTTTGAAGTTTCACACAAGTTATCTCTCCACAATACAATAAAGTATGAGTCCATTTAAATTTATTTTGGTTTCAGTATTTTTTGTTGATGTACTGAATATAGTTGCACAAAGAGGTAAAGATTTTTTGATATTTTTTTTAGTTTATTTAAAATATTTCATTATTAGTATGGAATTTGCTAGTGTTTTCAAAATTTACTACAGTAAAACTTGTCTGAACGGATCCTCTACGATACAGAAACCTGCCTAAATGGAAAGTAGGTTTTAGAAACGATTCGCATAGCAAATCGTAACGTTTCGAATTGTATCAATTGTATAAATTGGAATTTTTTTTGCAAAACAGTAGCAAAATACTAAATTATAACTTTGCTGTGTCTTTTGGGTTCCGATCTTGCCGATTTCTTAGTAAGAAGAGTTACACTTTATTTTTAAGATTATAATTTCGTTGTTACTGTGATGATGCATTACTGTTTCTCTCCATTTTTCTACTTGTGTAATAAGTATTAAACAGATAAACCTGTATATGAAGGAAACCTGCAAAAACGGAAACGTATGATCGGTTCCTTTTAAACAGGTTTTACTGTATAAATATAAATAGCTTATTAGTTTTAAGATAAACCCAGATAGAAAAAAGGTTGCTCAATTTAAATTATTTACCCCCGTGGCGGTTGCATTGTGTATATTTTTAGTGTTTACAACTTCCACAATTGCTATTTATTAGTTTGATCAGAGTCATGGATACACTGGCCTTTGCGCCGCCAATAGCTGTAATGCTACTATACTGGTTTAATAAATATTTCTGCCACTTCGAGCGCTTCGATCGCGTACAGTCGTAAGTTTGGCTGGAGCATAGGGAGAGTCAGCTGCAATGTTCCCTGTAATTTTTTTTTGTCGATGAGCGGAACACATACTTCTCTGAGCAAAAAAAATTTTTGCTGAGCAGATTCTGAGCAAAAACTTTTTCTGATCTTATATACTGTATAAAATAATCCATATAAACTATGCTATAAACAAAAAATTGTAGGATTACTTACCGAGTGTGCACCGTTTGACGACGCCATTGCTTAAGCTTGTTTTCGTTGTGGAGTGGCGCATCGAATGGCGGGTGCTTGTTTCCTGATAAATTATTTTTCTGCGAAAAATTTGCTAAACTTTGGAGACATCATTAATATAAATATAATTTTTATGGACGTTAAATAATAAATGGTTTTTAGTAGATCCGCTGCTCGTTTAAACTCAACGGTTTGTGCAATATCCGCTATTGGTCTAGATTCGATTAATCCTGTCGCGACACGAGTCAGCGATGACGTTTTACCGAATTATACGAGCTTTTTTAGCATGTTTGTACGAATACTGTCGCAACTTTTTCGCCGTGATATACGATTCCGAATTATAGGAACCCGTGTTATAGGGGGTCGACTGTATAAAGTAGAGGTTAAAATTAATTTTAAAACATACTTTTATACAAAATATTATTTCTTGTCAATGATTTAGTGTATTTAATTGAAATATACGTAGCAATAATCATGTTGCAGACAGAGTGAGAAATAAGTAAACAACAATTCAAATCGGTGTGCATGCTCGCCTGTGCGGCACATAAATTCTCGTGCGCGGCAACAATTTAAGCAGTGCGCAGCCGCGCAGCTTAGAGGAAACATTGGTCAGTTGTAAACATTCGAAATTCTTTTAATATATAAAATTTTCTCGTTTTTAACTCATATATTATTTTGCTTTTTTTAAAGGACTGCTTATAAATACTATTTTAACCTGATACTCTCTCCTTTTTTCTAACAATTCCATCAAACATGTCCTTGTGTGGGCATGAAGTTTATACCCTTAAATGATTTTATAAAAAAGTTTTTTTTTCTTTTTTTATTTTTAGTGTGGATCCAGCCCACTTCTGGAACACCACAATGTGTTAAGGTAGGATAGGTTTAAAGTGTTACAAAAGAAGAAATTTAGGATTTATAGGGGCTTTGGAGTTTATCATAGTTAAGCCCATATTTTTTCATTTTTTTTTAATATTAGGTAAATTATTGTAATTTGCAGTGAGAAAAGAGCTATGATATATGTTACTGTATTCACAAATTTATATTGTGTTTATTAATTTAATGAGAAATAGAGAGATAAAAGTTAAGCCAGTAAAAGTTAGAACAGGTTAGAGAGGGGGATTAAAAGTCAGTAGTTTTAGTTCTTGGATTTTAAATATAGACTGTTAAAGGATAAAGAGGAAATTCCAACTATTGATATTTAAACAACATATTCAACATATTTACAGGTACATAATTTAGATATGATTAGAGTATGATGAGTTAGGGGTTGACAAATAAAATAGGTAAATGTAAAATGGCAAGAGTTCAAACAGTATTATTAGATATTGACAGTGATAATGATTAGTGATGACATGGTGGCTAAAAGAAAGACATGTTAGTGATATTTTAAACCTATATAAATAAAGGACGAGTGTAGTAGACCACCAACAAATCTTCATTCATGTTCTACATATGGCAAAGTAAGGGGCAAACCAGCTTTGACCTCAAGGCACATAAAACAAAAATTAGAGTTTAGCACAGGAAAGGATCGTAGGTTATCTTCAGCGATGAAAAGACGTTTAACCTGTATAGATCGGATGGATATTAACGATATTGGAGAGACACCAGGGAAGAAGCGGGGACGTACTCGAAGCGGCAGCTTGGTGGAGGATCCATAATGATTTGGGCTGCAATTTAATGGGGCGAAAAATCTGACATCGTGATTGTTGATAGTCGTATGGAGACTACCAGCAGATGCTTCAAGAATCTCTTCTCTTATTTGCGGATAAACTGTGGGGAGATGGTTGGATATTTCAACAAAATAACGCACCCGTTCACCCGGCTAACAGCACCCAAAAATGGTCCGCAGACTACAATGTTGACGTTATTGCGTGGCAATCGAGAAGTGTCGATCTTGATTCCATTAAAAACGTCTGGTCACATCTCTCCAGAATGGTATATAATGGTGTCATAAAACTGCTGGCCACCATTATATATAGTATATAAATACACATAGCATATAAATCGGAGGTTCAAAAGCTCATTTGCTTAATGCAAGATAGAATTCTTCAGTGTATTTTAAAGAAAGGCGATAAAACTATGTATTGAATACAAATGTTTTAAATAAAATTAATTAGAGAAATTGTATGAAAAAATTTAGACTTATAAATGAAAAATATAGAGACAAAATTATGTCTATTTTTATATTATTATATGAATAAATAATTAATTTTTGTGTGATGTTTTATTACGTTACGATAAATTAAAGTTTTTATAGTGAAACGAATTTGTGTTATGAAGGCTGCCTGCTGGCCGCCAAACAACTGGTGGTCTTAAAATTTTGTCAGGTAGTTTATGTACAAAAATATTATCTAGTATATAAATGAGTACATTTTATAAATTTTATTTTCATTTTTAGCTTGTCCTAAACTAAATGAAGAACTGAAATCTTGTGGAGCTTGCGATGGAACGTGCGATATTCCAAATCCTATATGCTCCGATTTATGCAGACCAGCTTCGTGTGGATGCATCAACGGTACTGTTAGAAATAAATATAACAAATGTATCCCAGTAAAAGAATGTTGTCCTGAACCGAATGAAGAACTGAAACTTTGTGGAGCTTGCGATGGAACGTGCAATATTACAAATCCTTTTTGCCCTGAAGACTGCGGACCAGCTTCGTGTGGATGCATCGAGGGAACTGTCAGAAACGATTATAATATATGTATCCCAGTAGAAGAATGTTGTCCTGAACCGAATGAAGAACTGAAATTTTGTGGAGCTTGCGATGGAACGTGCGATATTCCAAATCCTGTATGCTCCGATTTATGCAGACCAGCTTCGTGTGGATGCATCAACGGTACTGTTAGAAATAAATATAATAAATGTATCCCAGTAGAATTGTGTTGTCTTAAACCGAATGAAGAACTGATACCTTGTGGAGCTTGCGATGGAACGTGTAATACTCCAAATCCTTTTTGCACCCTTGAATGCGGACCAGATTCGTGTGGATGCATCGAGGGAACTGTCAGAAACGATTATAATATATGTATCCCAGTAGAAGAATGTTGTCCTGAACCGAATGAAGAACTGAAATTTTGTGGAGCTTGCGATGGAACTTGCGATATTCCAAATCCTGTATGCTCCGATTTATGCAGACCAGCTTCGTGTGGATGCATCAACGGTACTGTTAGAAATAAATATAATAAATGTATCCCAGTAGAATTGTGTTGTCTTAAACCGAATGAAGAACTGATACCTTGTGGAGCTTGCGATGGAACGTGTAATACTCCAAATCCTTTTTGCACCCTTGAATGCGGACCAGATTCGTGTGGATGCATCGAGGGAACTGTCAGAAACGATTATAATATATGTATCCCAGTAGAAGAATGTTGTCCTGAACAGAATGAAGAACTAAAACCTTGTGGAGCTTGCGATAGAATATGCAGTATTTTATATCCTATATGCCCTGAAGACTGCGGACCAGCTTCGTGTGGATGCATCGAAGGAACTGTCAGAAACGATTATAATATATGTATACCAGTAGAAGAATGTTGTCCTGAACCGAATGAAGAACTGAAATTTTGTGGAGCTTGCGATGGAACGTGCAGTAATCCAAATCCTATATGCCCCTTTTTTTGCATATCATCTTCGTGTGGATGCATCAGCGGTACTGTTAGAAATAAATATAACAAATGTATCCCAGTAGAAGAATGTTGTCCTGAACCGAATGAAGAACTAAAACCTTGTGGAGCTTGCGATGGAACGTGCGATGTTCCAAATCCTATATGCACTGAAGAATGCGGACCAGCTTCGTGTGGATGCGTTAACGGTACTGTCAGAAATAAATGTAACAAATGTATCCCGTTAACAGATTGTTGTTATTAATATGAAGTTTTGAATTCTATGTTTAATTCGGGTTATACAATGTATTGTCTAGAACATTTTGCTTGTAATATCGGGTGGGGTAAGAATCGCGGTAAATACATAGTATTGTCGAGTATTGTATTAATTCAAATTCTCAATATATCGAACTGCTAAAGATATGTAAAGAGAACCATCAAGAGGGCTGTTTTTTAAAGAAATAATATTATATACCGGTACGGTTCATTTCTTTGTAATCTAGCTAAGATAATTAAATATTAACTATTGTTCTTATAAGTGTTGGTTGTATTTGATAATTGACATAAATTTCGAAAATATGTTAATACTTCAATTCAAAACATAAAGATTCGAATATTATCGTTGCTTAAATGTAATAAAACAACGTTAAATACGAGATTTTTCGTGTTCGCAAAGCATATTGTAAGTTACGATATTGTAAAAATTCTCGTAAACACAATGTATCTAATAGTGGCATGTCTAGATTTTGAGAATATAGATGCTGCTCAAGGCAGATTCAAGGGGGACGAAGGCAGGTGTCACCTGTCGTATTTTGGAGAAAGTTACTCAGTTAACCTACGATTACTTAAATTAGATAAGATTAGGTCATTCATGCTTTACAAAGACCTTAGCGATGTAAGCGACGCTGGTCAATGTAGTCACTATTCTGAAGGTGTAAAACGTAATGGCAATTGTAGTTAAGTTCTCACAATATCATATCATCAAGACAATTTTATGTGGAATAAGAAACAATTTAAAACAACTATTATTACCTTGATAAATGTAGCAATATAATCGGGCTTGGAGGCATACATGCACCGTATTGTAGATGTCCTGTAAGAGATTTGCTTACAGATGTTACAATTGCCGCTTCAGATCGCTTACACTCGTAGATGGCCGTGGCCTTACGTGTTTTGATGGACCCGTCTAGACATGTAGCGTCCCATTCCTCGCCATCAGGCCGCCCCGTTGTGGGCCTTGCCGAACCTAACACGGGCCATCTTATAGCCCACAGGGCAGAAAGAATTTTTAAAAGTACTCGCATAAAACAATTTATGAAAACAATAGAAAATATTACAGATTGTTTCAAATACTTCTACAAAAATATTTTTAAATTTTCAGAGATGAATTAAATTGGATTGATAGATAATGCGACACAATATAAGGGTAATCTGCCGAAGGGGTGCCTTCCGGGAGAACTTTCTATGGGAAATTGGGCCTTATTTAGGTGTTTCACACGTGAAAAAACTCCGAAAAATTCCGCGTGACCAGCCCGCTGGTCAAGCACTAACTGCCATTTTGTCAGAGTGAGTATGAAAGATTAACTTACCGATAAGTTTCCTTCTGATAAGATAACAAAGAAAAGAATGAAGACGATGATTTTTTTGTGACCATCGAGTGCCACCAAACCACCGAAAAAGAATTCATAGATGAAATCAAACAACACAGACAGGATGCAATACGCACTGACTCAAAATCAAAGCAACCAAGTCTGCCTCCTGCCAAATTACTTAGTAATTATTTAGACTTATATCCCGATAAGAGGTCCTGTTGTTTGTTTGGTATTCGAAATTGAAGCAAGCAATCAAAGAAAGTTACAATAAAAATTATCAGAAGAAGAGAAAAAATTACGCTTTCCTTCTGTGAGGCATTAGACAAATAAAGGACCTGAGGCCCTAATCCGTAGTCGCGTAAAACGAGGCCTTAAATCTCGTAAAGCAAGCGAGCTTGAAAATAATAGAGGGAGTTTTAATTAATGTCTCTTTGCAAGGAATCAGATGAAGGCGGTCGACGCCATATTGGAAATCCTAAAAGTTGTAACTTTGTATCTATTTTTATAGTCTTATTACTGGGTTTTCTTCACGTTTATAACACTTAAATAGTGGCCAGTTTCTCATAGAACATCCTCCCGGGAGGCATCCTCTTCGGCAGATCGCCCACGTACCTCTTTGATGTAAACAAATAAACCAAACATTACAGAAAGAATGAGCAGTAATGCTTACAACACGTGACTTATCTTTACTTTTCACGTGAGCTGTAGTGTACAATTGATATTATTTTAGTTAAGGGGATGATAGAAGTTGTTCGGATTACAGGGGTTCGGATGACCAGGGATTCTGATTAGCGCGCCATACTGTAAGTGTACTCGAGTTGTCTAAATTTAGCATTTTTACGCCAAATTAACGTAGATGTAAACACAACTATGACAAGTCGTGTGCCTAATGTTATGATATTTAAGGCCAACCACTTAAATTATTTTATTTCGTATTAAAATTTTAATTTTTTAAAAAATGTTTATAAGGGATTTTCGAAAATATTTTACTGAGAAATCCGGAATTTCGAAAGAAATCGAATGTGTTCAGAAAAAAATTTGGGGATTTCCTCTACAGTAGTGTTATGAAGAACATACTCCGACCTTTAGGGCTCATAACAGGCTGATTTTTTTCCTTCAACTTTTAATAATTAGTTTACGTTTATTACATAATAATAATAAAAATAATAAAGGCAAACTGAATATTTATACACAGACATAACCAAATAGCAAGACAAAATGTGTTACAATACACCACCTATACAACACCCACGAAATACAGAACACGTAAAGAATGGATGAGATAGATAATAGAGAGGTTGCGGCCGACGTTTTCAACGCGAAAACGTGTACGTCGGACGTTCAGCGCCGCTTTCCTGTAAGCCTAGAAGTTTGAAAATGGCGTTTGGAACGTCGAGCATGATTCCACTGACATTCCAAACTCCATTGTCAAACGTCTAGGCTTACAGGAAAGCGGCGCTGATCGTCCGACGTACACGTTTTCGCGTTGAAAACGTCGGCCGCAACCTCTCTATTGTGTCACTAGTCCTTTCTTGTCTGTAGAGCCATCTGCTGTGAGATTTTATTTAAAAAATTCGTTTATTATTGTTGTAAAATGTAAATACAGTAAGCTTCCATTTAAAACAGGTAAACAGTAATCTTCTGTCAACACGAATGATTAATTAATTATTCGTTGACAGAAGATTTGTCAATGAAGAATTGACGTGTAACATAGATCACGGAATTATCTATTAATATAAATACGTAATATAGGCTATACTTTTTTATTACGGTAAACACGAGTAAAATAAACAATATTTCGAAACAGTGACGTAAAAAGTAACCACAGAGGCGTGTGTTATTGCAGTAACTCGTCATTCTTTGCTATGGTTATAGTAATCATGTGTATTGTTATCACTCGTTTAATTAACTCCAATTTAGGTGCTAGGATGCATTCGGAAAGGCACTATCCTTCGTTACGTTACGTGTAATTGTTCATACGACACATTAACTATTATGCCTAGTCAATCGTGTCAGCATTTCTATACACCCTTTTCCTGTGACTGTATAAAATGGGATGCTTCATCTTCTACTTCATTAATTATGTTTTAATCTTAAAACATACCGGCGCTCACACGCAATTCTGGTAGTCTAATTTGCATAACGTCGCGTGTACTGTGAAATTTTACCGTTTGTTACTGCGACGAGTCCTCTCGTTTCTTAAGTTGCCTCTTCGAACTTGCCATTTCTGAATTAAATTTGTCATCTGTGATTACGTCTTTCAAAAATTTAAAACTTTAAAACACTTCCGTAATTATGTAAGGAATAATGTTTATTTGGAAAATCTTTCCGCAAAATTCTGCAATGGAATGTAAATTATTACAAAAAGACATAGAATATATTTTTGAAAGGAGCACATTTGAATCTAAGCCAATTTATTTACGTCCTTGATATCAATAAACATAATTTTCTAATGCCTAGAAGGAAAACCTGTTTTCGATCCTCTCTACAATGCGAGAAAGTTACGCATGTTACTTCAGTTGACTAAGTATAATGGAGTCGAAGAAGAATGTTGCGATCATAGGAGCGGGAGTCAGCGGTTTGCTTTCCATGAAAACCTGCAAAGAAGGATTTCGTGTAACCTGTTACGAAATCACCAACGATATCGGAGGATTATGGAAGTATCGTGAAGAAAACGTCCCCGGAGTAGCATCCGTTTGCAAGAGGACCGTCATGAACACCAGCAGAGAGATGAGTGCCTTCAGCGATTTTCCTCCTCCTAAAGATTTTCCCATTTTTATGCCTCACCAAATAGTTTACGATTACATAACGTCGTATGCAGATAAACATTCTTTAAGAGATCACGTTCGCTTTCGCAGGAAAGTGACTCTCGTACAAGAAGCGGAAGACTTCGAATACAAAGGAAAATGGAAAGTCACCGCCATAGATCTTGAAACTTCCAACAAAGAAGTGGACACGTATGACGCTGTGATGATTTGCACCGGATGCAACAGCAATCCCTTCATTCCGTCTCTGCCGGGACTCGAAGAATTTAAAGGCAATGTATTTCATTCTTGGCACTACAAGGAACCATCCAAGTTCTCAAATAGGAGAGTTTTAGTTGTAGGAACGGGCAATTCAGGTTCTGACGTGGCAGTGGATTTGTGTGGAGTGGCAAAGACGGTAAGTAGCAATATATAGTTAATTTCTAGATATTTCTTGATATTTTTCTGGAAGAAGAGAGGTTTAGAATAGGGCAATGACACTTGGATGATCTGCGAAAGGAACGATGCTTTCCGGGAGGACTTTCTATGAAAAACTGGCCCCTGCTTAGATATTACATAAGCTTAAGAAAGTCGGAAAATTCCACGTGGCCAGCCCATTGGTCAGGTGTGAACCCATTTTATCCTCTAGGCTGGTTATGTTATTCATCCCTTTCACCTTCGTATTCCTAAAAAATTAAATTTTCTAGATATATTCATTTTAAAATGATAAATTGGCATTGATTTTATGATATTTTGATATTACAGATTATTATGAGTTCGAATAACGGATTATGGGTTTATGGAAGAAACAGCCCATCAGGAGAACCGTGGGATGTATACTTCACTTCTCGTTTGAATCTTTGGCTTTTCGAACGCCTGCCCAAATTTATAACAAACAAATGGATGAAAAATAAATTTAAGAAATATTTCAATACTTCTTATTTCAATATTGTGCCGAAAAAAGATGTTTTTCGTTGCATTCCTACCATAAACGATTGTATACTATTTCTTCTCCTAAACGGAAACATAAGGATCAGAGGCAAGATTAAGAAATTTACAGCAGAAGGCGTTCTGTTCGAAGGAGACCAAGACGTCACACTTATCGACGACGTCATTTTCGCTACAGGGTACAGCTTAGATCTCCCTTTCTTGCAGAAGAAAACTTATTCTGAAGATTTATACAATATCATTATTCCTCCAGATTTGAAACATCCAACTCTGGCATTTATAGGTTTCATAGAAATTCCAAGAGCTCTAGCCTTAATTATCGAGATGCAAGCCATGTGGTTCGTGCAGTTATTAAAAGGAAAGATACAATTACCCCCTCGAGAAAAAATGAGGAAAAGAATATCGAATTTTAAGAAGGCCAGAAAAGCAAGATATGGAGAAGATTCGCACACCCATTTAATCATGGAAACTTATGGAGACGAATTAGCTTCGGAAATAGGAATAAAGCCTAATTTACTTTCTATGCTGTTTCACGATCCGGCATTATTCTTCTCGTGTCTGAAAGGTCCCCTTCTACCCTATCAGTACAGATTACGAGGGCCATACGCTTGGATGGGTGCTCGAGATGCCATTGTTACTGATAAAAAACGGTTATACAACGTGAAGTAAAGCTTTTTTTATGCAATATCTACTCTATGCAATTCTGCGTTTCCCAATAGCAAAACGTGGTGTATAAATTTGGGGAATGTAGGAGTATACCTGATATTCCTAGAATAAATAATAATAATGAAATATGAAAAAATATACTGTATTTGTAAGTAATAAAAACTTTGGATTTGAATTGAATAAAAGTTTTCAGCTTGCTGTTTTATTATATAGTAAATTCAAATTTAAACTGACCAATAGACGAGCATATGATACGTAACAGACAACCGGGGTCTTCGCCGGCTTGTAGAGCGAGATCGAGTGGATCTCTAGTCTCTAGCTGAATTTTTCATTTTGTAAATAAACTTTTCCAACTGACAGTTTGTAGAGGGGTAAAGGAAGTTTACATTGTTTATTTACAACCACATCACCAGCGAAATCGCGACCCCTGACGTCACGAGATCGTCAAAGGAAAGTAATCACGTGACGACACAAAGCTCACCTAACGTCACCTCTAGTTTGCATTGTGTTTAAGGTTTCTCCCGGTCCGAAGAAATGTCCCCAGCACTTCCTCTCTCGACTACCCTGTAGACAACCGAAATATCTTAATTGGTTCATTTAAATTCGAACGCAATTTACGTTTACAAACGAAAATTACATTTGTCAAGGTTAACATTTTCTTGTTTTGGTATTTCGTGCACGTGGAGGAATCTTATTAACGTGTTGTCATACACAAATCAAATTTCTTCTCCACGTAATACGTCATGTAAGCGTTTGTTTTCATCCACTGTAAATGGGTCAAGCTCGTGTCTAGTGTCTATCTTACTTGTTACATAAATCAATCACATTGATTATTACAAAGAAACCCGTATTCTAGCATACAAAGGGAGAGAGATGATATTATCTCTAGTAAAGCATTAAAAAAATTGTGACGCAAAACAAGGAAAATCCGTTAAGAGCAGAGACTTTTGTACAGGCAGGGGCGCCGCTAGCTGTTTGAACGCTTGTGTGCAATACCGATAATGCCGCCCCCTGTTTAACTACGACTACCTACGCTGAGCTTGCCAGAAAGGTTCTTTAGTGTTGTCTCATAAGGTGTGAAAAAAATAAATACTTTACAATTATGCTAGTTTTACCAAAAAATCTTCAATCACAAAATTTTCGGCATACTTATGGTCTTCCCCTTTAATTAAGAAAAATATAAATTTCCTGTCGCAGTTCAAATGGAAGAGACAAAACATTACCTCGAGAGAGCCATCGCTCTTTCGTGGTAATGTTTTGTACCTTCTCGAAGTACTGTAGTACAACAAAGACGTGTGCTCGGATCCCACATCTTCACATAGTTTTTTTTTGAAAAGTCTTGCCTTCAACGGCCGTTTTATAAAGTTTACTACATGTACTACGTATTCTGGTTCAACGCAGGACTCAGATTTTTGATGCGAGTTCTTTCCTGTGAATAACGCAATGGGTTCACAGTGCATCGGGGTTTTTGCTTCGAAAAAGTACTTGCAATCCTCCGTAACATCCGGACATAGGACGAGCACCATCAGTAAAGATACCAATGCATTTGGTCCACTCCAAATTATTTTCGGAAATAAAAATATCGAGGATCTCGAACAAGTCGTGAGCCTTAGTACCAGCAGTGATACTTTTACAGAAGAGAAAGTCTTCTATGTTATTATTATCTATAAACCGTACATAGCAAATCAAGTGAGCATCATTATTATCTGTGTCTTCTTCCAGTTGCAACCTAAAATTCCTTCCTTGTATTTTTTCAATAACTGATTATTGCGGGTCCTTCGCTATGTGCTGTATTCTGCGACTGATAGTGTTATTGGACAAAAGTACTTTTATCTGCATCAGGTCTGCTAGATGTTGCATCTTATCATATTGAATTGAAAGTGGAAGTAAAATCATGAAAATTTTATAATATTTCGCGGTTCCCCTGTGAGGAAACCGCTACGTTAGTATATTATATATGTATTTTTGTATCACTAGATAGTGCTATATTAAAATAATTGTAAATAAACTCGTTTGTGACGAATAATTATTAAAGAAAACTACTGTTTTCTAGATTATATCACATAACTGTAGCTTTTATGGGTATTATACATGTACAAATTTTGAATTTTGATAGTATTTTTCGTTAAAACAATACAGCCATTTGCTATAAATAAACACTTTCATCACAACTACGTTTAAATAAAAGTATAAAAGCCATCTTTTGAGGAAATAGGTAAATGGTGTAATAGTGGATCTTTTATTCATATGTACAGTACAAAATAGTATTATCAAAGACATGTTTCTGCCATGAATAATTTAATAAAACATACCATTATGGATATACTGAGACCCTGAACAATTCATAGTTGCACATATATTCTTTGCTAAAGTAACGAGTTAGAATTAGTTGTACGAATACATACCATATTCCTAAATTTACAAAGTGATATTTTTTTCAAAAATTGCTTAAATAAGTCAGAAATAAGTTGAACAATTATTTAGGGCGCTACTTCGAACTCTAACAGGTCAAGACAAAATATATCCACTACTCCCTTTGTCTTATCGGGTACTCGAAGTATTACTTTCATATCGTAGCATCCCTGAAATAGTTATAAAAAAACATTAAGAATTGTTTTAAAAACACATAAATTTTAATATAGATTTTAAGATCTGTTGACCTCGGGAAGCATGGGAGGTATTAAAAAAAAAGTGTATTTCTCTCTAGGTCCTATTATTCGTCCACCTGTAGCCATCTTAAACGGATCCGTTTCTTCACACGGGCAATTTTCATCTGGTATCTTATTGCACGGAGACTTGAAAAGTGTCAGCATGTCAAAATCACTAAAACAAACAAAAATCTATTTATTAATTAGCAAATTAGTTGCGAATTTATAGCATTTATAAGTAATTCAATTGCCACTCCTTTACTTAAAACTGGCATATGGACAATTAAAGTATTTATAAAACTCAGATTTATGGTTTAGTCGAGTGAAAATAATTACATACGAAACAATCCGAACATTTTCAACTCATTTTTAAAATAAAACAATTACCTGATTCAACCAATCTTATTAATACAGTAATTTGAGCAATTCGTTCTTTTAGAAAACATAAGTAGTTATTTGCACATTGTATCGTACACCAGATTACAGTTTTAATTGTATTGCTATTTTGTTTCGTCTCTTTCCGTCCAGTAGATACTGAGAGTGCACAGATATGAGGGTCGTAAAAGCGCGTCGAAATTGCGACTAATTACGAAACTCCTAAGTCGGAGAGTTTTGAAGATAGAATCGAGAAGAGGGTGTTAATGACAGAACCCAGATGGGACGGAACTTTCTTACGTAGTGTAAGACAAACGCGACGCGATGATAAACAGCAGGGGGGAATGTCGACAGAGAGAGAGATGCTCGTGAACAAGTGTCGGGTCGAAACAATCAAGAAAAGAAGGGATTTAATGACAAAAGGGACATCTGTTAAGCCCGAACGCGTTAGGGGGTAAATAGCCACAAGAACATCTGGTGGACCGTTTAAGTTCAAAGATGTCAGAGAGAAGGGCCATAACGGAGTAAAATACGAGCGCGAACTGTAAAAGCCCCGTCATCGCCTCTCCGACTTTTTCCCGACCCGGATCGGTCTCGAGTTTCGCCTAGAAACAAAAGAATGACCAATCGGGGTAAGGGAGAGGGTGAACGGGACGAATGAAAAGGGTGAGATTCGGGGAAAATCTTATAAAACCCCCGAATCTCAAGGACAAACGGCAGATTCTCTCCAAGACGAGTGTGAAGAAACTTGCAACGTCATCCGTCCACGACCGTCCAAACTCCGCCGCATACCCAGCAGAAGGAAGTGAGGACCTAATCATCGGACATCGCCCGTCAACCACCGGACCCTTCAACGAGCAAGCCCCGGGGCACCCACAAGTGTAACATCGAATGTCCAGCAATACTTGTTCTTGTTATTCCTATTATGTAAGTTAACTTTATGTCAAAAATAAACGGTTTCGTGTAAGACACTTGTCATCTTTGTCTCTTAACGCCACCACCCATATACGGTTTGACACTAGATTTTCCTGACGCGCAATTAACGTATTGCCCCTAAAAGTCGACAACCTTACACAGACATTTTACTCATGTCCGTGGGATGGCTTTATGGCTAAGCGGTTAGGGTGCAGCCAATCTCTATGAGAGATCCGGAATCGAATCCAGACGAATCGAGAAACCAGGAGTTTTGGGGAAGACTCACCTAGATATATCGAGCCACATCTCTCTCTCTCTTCACCCTGCTGCCTCAATATAGGCCTAGCTCAACTCATAACGAATGTTCTAAAAAAGCCCTCTTAGTGCTGGAAGGACGGAAAAGTTAAGAAAAACACATCTGCTGTTAATTATTCGGAAATGTATTGAAAAAAACTGGAATTTTCATGTTTTTTTTTTAAACTCATTCCTATTACTTCAAGAGAAGTTGGTACTCTTTTCTGCTATAATTTTCAACTTTTTTTTCTTCTACAGGTACTAAGAAGGACAATAGGCCCACATCTGAGATAGAGCACCCAAGAAAAAATCACTGGGGTTTTCGACTATCGAAATTCCATTTCTGATTATCTAGAGCGGTAGGCTGGCCCCTTAAAAAACCGCATCGTCCGTGTTGCTATTTTTAATATATCACAATGGATTCTCAGAATTTTGGCCGATCCAATTATATTTTATCTTCTGTATAATATAATACAGCATAAGCGATATTATATTATTATATATATAATCAACGATCGTTAAACTATTGATATGTACTTACAAACTCTTATCTTCTGACGTCAGTTCTTTGCCACATTGTGGGAATACAATACTCATCATTGCCGTACACGGAATATCTTTCGTTACAATAATATCCAATGTCACTGAAAGATTTTCGTTTTTTATCCATGGCATTGGCTCAAACTTTAGATTCTCCACTTCTATTCTTTGATCCGTCATGTCTAAAATAAAAAAATATATAATAATAATAATAATAATAATAACGGTGTACTTTATACTTTAAGATGAAACTTTACAGTAGTTTTTGAACCATAAATAATGCTGGAACTATATCTACTCACCACAGTATTGCTGAGTCAAGCATTTTATTGCCGGCAGGAAGAATAGGAGGGTAAATATCACTAAAGTCATTTTTTTCTTAGTGCACTTAATCAATACATAAACACACACACACACAATATATATATATATATTATAAGTGATAAATGAAACTAATTTTTATTGGTGAATAGTTAAAGGGGCGTGGAATAGTTTAGTGTAACAAAGAGCAGGTGTTATATTTCATTCTAAAGAAAAAAACAGGAAAAACTACAGACTATTTACTTAAATTCTAATAAATGTCAGAAATAAATTATATTTAAAGTAGTGTTAATATTAAATATAAGGTAATGTAATAAATTGTAACAATAACTGATAGTTTATATTTTCATATTATTATTATTATTTCTTTTTTGAATTTTATTCTTACAGCGTATAAATAAATGAATAATAACCATATAATTGATGCTAATAAATGAATAATAACGCGATAAAAACTGCTTTTTAGAAGCTGATTATAAGGTCAAGAAACAATGAAAATGTTAAAACAATTTTAGGCCATTTCATTTTATTTTACAGAAGAAGAATAAAAATTCCTGCAACGATTTGTGTTACTTTACCAACACCATTTAAAATTACGTGTGGTACCATATTTTATTTTAAAACTTTTTATATTATAAATTATTATAAAATGGCAAAAGGCTTAACATTGAGGGTAGGATTAAGTTTTATAAAAAGTTGTAAATGCTAAAAATCAGTAAAATCGTCATTAAGTCCGACCCTATTTAAGATATGAAACATAACCCCATCTATCTCCCCACCCCTTCGATTGTTAACTACCAAAATTTATTAGCATCAATCCCTCTAATACACAAACCTTCTTGCAAAATTTCAGAAATTTTCGACAAAAAGCACGCTTCAAACAGGGTGAAGAAAATTGTGCCATTCCATACATACACACGCTAACATCCGTACATAGAGAGAAAAATCCCGAGTATTTTTGCATTTATTGACATTTCAAGATCCCCCGAGTCCAAAAATGAGAATCTTTTGGGGGTATTTTCTTATCAATCGCTATACTTTCCCTCATTTACCAGCTGGGAAATCAAAAATGGTACTGTGAAGTATCCATATGGGCAGAAAGTATATGACTAATCATCCCTATTCTCTCTATCCATAACAGTTTTTCTCATGTAATTAAAGCAATAATTTATGCTTTAAATTATGTTATATATTTTAATACACTATGTTTTGTCTGGACCCCATTTCCTTGAAGGTACTGTACTTCTTAAATCCTATATCACCCTGAATAAAGCTGACCAACCTACTGTATTTTCTTTTTTAAATTTAATAATAGATTTATTAGTTATATCTAAAAACATGCAATAGATTTTTGTAAAAATTTAACTTTATAAGGGTTAACTTTTGTAAAGGTAGAAAGTAAATACAGGTGTGTCGCGCAGTTGCTGTACGTGATGAGATTCAACAAATAAAACAAATAACGTAAAATGTTTTGTAGCAGAGAAAAATTTTTAAATTTGTTATAATAAAAGTTTGCGTAGAGTTTCTTTTATGAATTAATAAATTATTATGTATCGAGAATCTTGCCACAACCTGGATGCTTAGTTTTGAGTTAAGTGAGTAACAACACTTGTCTTACGTATCACCGAGTCGTTCAGTGTATAGACTCAATGTACCACGTGATATTCTCAACACGTTCGTGTTGTTACTCACGTAACTCGAGACTAGACACGTGGACCTCGAGTCTTCTACACTACTCGATGTAATTCCAATTTATAGTTAGAAAATTCAGAAAAATGGCAAAAAAAAGAACGCCTTGGGGTGTAAAATTGTGACAGAATAAACAGATGAGTTTTCTGGTAAAGCAGCTTTAATACAACTGGATAAGCAGTTAATAACATAAACTGTTTCATTTAAAACGGACTATTATCATTGGTTGGCTTATCCGGGTACAGTATATTAATTAAAATCGCTTACTAGGCAATTCGTCTAATGTCTTCATAGAGGGCAATTTTACTTTCCCCGGCTTCTATACAACACACGGAAAGTATGGCGGTCAGTTAAAAAGTGACCCACTTTCCAAGATTTTCACATTTTTGGACTTGGGGACTCGAAACGTCGAGAAATGAAAAAAATTGATGGATTTTTTTTCTGTATGTATGGAGTGCACTATTTTTCACTTATTTTCAAGCTTAATAACTCCTGTGCCTTTTGTCAGAAATTTTTGAAATTTTTCTGGGGAGGTTGCGTATTAAGGGAATATGTTTCTGGAAATTTTCAGGTAAATCGGACCATACATCGCTGGATTTGTTTCCATTGTATGGTGAAAGCGTGTACTGACTTCTAGTATAAAGTAAGCCACGTTGAAGGGAGAGGCTAGCCTCACTGTGTCAGTTTTCCATTCGGCATGCGTGTGGAATCTGCATGAAAAACACGAGGCTATCGAAGATAAGCTTCCTGTTTTATATGCTCTATTTAGGGATTGCAATTGCTGGATCCCTCATCCAGCAATCCAGCTGGATCCAGCGCATTCTTCGACCTGCTGGATCCAGCATCAGGTGCTGGATCCAGCGCTGCGGATCCGCAAATACTTCAATTAAGTTTCTAAATAATGGCGCAAAAGTCTACGTTATCGGTGNTTAGCCACTGATTATTCGTCCTTACATTATTATAATATAATATATTAATACAAATTAATTGGTAGAATTACCTCTGCTATTATTTAACTTAAAGATTACATTATAATTATAATCTAACCAAACATTTAAAGTTAATTATATCTATCTCAAGTGTTAAACCGAACCAAAGTTAAGTTTACTACCTAAATGTGTAAGAAGGTTTACTGATTTACTTTATAGTGACCAGTCTAAATAATAAATTAATAAAACAATGATTAGGAGTTTTCTGTTTCTATTCGAAAAGCTCAGATAAAAATTTATTTCGTGATAAAGTTTAACATTTAGGAAGGGTAGCCTCAAAAGCTTCTTAGGCACTTTGCTACTTGTAATAAATAAGGGCAACACAACGGACGTCAAGGGAAATCTGCCATAAAAGATGTGGAGTACTCTCGGTAGTTATCTATGGAAAACTACTTTCTGTTTAAGTGTTAACCCACGGTTAAGCGCGCCACCTAGCTTTCGCGAAGTTGGGCGCGCAGGGAGTCAGCGAGAACCAGTTTCAAAAATCAATTTTGTAAAAGTCATAGTTTTTTTCGCGAATTTTTCACGTTAGATGTTTGTGGGAATGTGTTTTTGATGTATTAATTAACAAAACTACTAAAAATATATCGTTTTTTATTTATTTATAACGGAAGCAAAAAGATTTACGTTTTTATAAATTTTTAGGAAAAAATGGTCAACTTCAGAAGTGTGTTTTACAAACTGTAACCAAGTCTATTGCTATCTAAGCTCTGAATCGCTTTCCTGTATGTGTTTTTAACTGCCACAACCATTAAATTCTTTGTAACAAACTTCGGGCCAAAAATATTTTAGTACAGTATTTCCAAAAATACACCCTCTAAAATTCTACAGCAACTAGAGGTAAAAATGCAGATTATTGGCAGATAACATCGATATTTAACTTTTTTTACAATGTAATTGGTTAATTTATTTGTCTGTTATTAGATCCACTTGTAAAAACAATTGTTGGAAAAATTCTCGCAAAATGCCAAGCCCCCACAGGCTACCACTTCGAAGTATGTAAACAAGCGCTATAAAATCGCGTGTTTTAATCGTTTTTTTAAACTTCTAATTTGCTAACGAAAAGTTGTTTGACAGTATTTAGACGAATAAACATGTTTTCAAAACCAGTTAGCAATAAATATTCCCGAGAAACTTCACCTTTCAAACTTGCAACGCTAAGTCTATGGAAGACCTTTTTGCCGTTATTCGAAATAGAAAGCCACTTTCAACCACTTTCAGCCTCATACCTCCCGCACCCTTATAGCTATCGAGACGCGACCACCCCTACGCACGAATGGAGACTTGGAGCTACCACCACATATAAACACCATTCACGTGCGATGTGTATATATATATACAGATATGTAAAGAATAATAGATTTTTTTGCAAAAGTTAACTTTTTAGAGAGGAGAGTAAATACACCTGCCGAGTTTTCGCTTTACGTGATGAGACTTTCATCAGGTAAAATAAATAAGATATTTTACCTTATTATAATAATTTATTTCTATTATAATAATTAAGATACATTATCTTAATTAATATTACATCAGAGAGAATATAAATTTTGTCCGAGCGTAATCAGGACCGTCGAAAGGGGAAGTAGCTGAGGATTTTGGAGCCTGGGCATAGGAAGGGTCCTAAATAAACTAAACTTAAAAAATCTATAAGAGTGTGCATTTTATTGATAAAAAATATTTTACCTATTTTATTTGTTTATAAAAATTTCAAAAGGGCCCACTAAGGAACGAAAGAGGCCCGACACAAGCTTCGACCGGCTGGATGTAAATTGGAACATAATAAGCGGATACGTTGTCAGCTTTAATATAATTAGATAAGCAAGCTAATGACGTAAACTGATTCATTTAAGATGGACTTAGGTAAAACCCGTTTTGAACGGGTTTTACCTAATAAAGCGGAAACCTCACTAAACTGAAAAGTTCAAAATGTAGCGATTTTTTATGTTAAAAAGAACATGTTCAAAATTTAAACCTGACAAACCGGAAAAAATACTTCGTACCGCACTATTCCTGTTTACCAGGTTTTACTGTACACAATAGTTTGTTTATTCAGCTATAATAAAGGTGCTTCATTAGGTAACCCGCCCAATGTCTTCGTAAAGACTGATACTTTTAATTTTTAAATCATTAAAATAAGGAAAAAGGTTTCATCGGACAATTAAACTTTCGCTCTAAAAACTATTTTAACCTCTTAAGAATTTTTCTTCCACCAAAAGCCGATTTCTCCACTAAAAGAACATTGAAAAAAAGAGCAATTTTCATCGTACAATACACTGCCGTGCAGTGTATTGTACGTTGAAAATTGCTTTCGATATTCCTGAATATAGAATTACTTCCGGTGTACACAGTACATTCATGCAAAGTATCCGAATGTATAACGTACACACGTAAGTTATATTCATACATACTGTTAAAGTACTACTTGGGTTCCACAAACTTCCGTTTTTTTCTTTAACATTAATTATATATTGTTAATAAATAAAATAAAAAGAATGTTTATGGATAAATAATATAAACATTATTAAAGTTATAAAATTAAAATTAGTTTCTAATTGTTACTAACGAAGGTAGAATTTATTTCATGTACATTGTACTTATATAAACATATACACTAATGACTTAAATGTAATTCTTTATTCTGAACGAGAATCACTTACAGAATAGGCTTTAAAAATATGACTTATTTATACTTTATTTAGTGTACACAATAAATAAAATATTAGTCAAATATTAAATTTTCTTACTCACCAAGCCTCGAGATAACAATTATTTTTCAAAGCCAATGAAACGACACTTTATTTACAGTACCTTTCCCGTGTCTACTTTATTCCGTCTCCCTTCTATTCTGTGACTTCATTATCCTTCTTTTTCAGGCTGTTATGGCTGATTATTACTTAGTCTGTTAAAAGAACGTTTATATCATTTAAAAATGCAAATAAGAAAAGTTAAACTCACGATTAAGACATAAACACTACACAAAGAAAAGATTGTGAATTAATGTCCGGCATTTTTTGTTTCCAGTCAGCGGTATTAGCTACAGTCCACGTGTAAAACGAGTAACATAGCCTAAGTTTACGTTACGGAAGCGAAAGCATATATCATATACAGGCTGCTGCCTATAAGCACTATTGCCATTTATTATTATAAAATATTAAGATGATATTACTGTAAATTCATATAACTAAATGTCTAGGAAACACCACAAACAATGAAGTGTTGTATAAATGTTAAGCACGTGTCACAATATAATGCCACGTGTTTTCTTATTTTTATAGTTTATATTTCTAATTTAATTATTTTTAATTGTAGAATAGACAGTGATTGACTTTTCCAACAAATTCATTTAGCAAACACATTGAAGTATTATATAAGCAAACAAGCCTAGCAAAATTTATAAACTTATTTATATAAAAATACATTTATTATAAAATATTATATTTAAATTAGAAAAATAAAATAACAATACGTAAAAAATTGTTATTTAAATGCGCTTAAAATTTCAAAATTAAATATTAAATAGAAATTAATTTAAGATATCACGTATGTATAGCCATTAGGAATGTTGTTGGCTTGCAGCCGACACTGTCAATACATTGTGTGCAATTTCCTGTTCATCGTAGCAAAGTAAAAAACACGATTGTTCTTTCCTTACTCTTTCACGATAATCTAAATGTAACTTTGAAGTTAATATAGAAGTTATTCTGCAGATTAGAGAAAAACCTGGAAAGTTTCACTTTGATCAGGTGTAAACACACGACCAGTGAGTGCTTCATTTAATCCCCTCTCGAGCACTGGTGAGCACGATGGTGATGGAGAGTCTGTATATCCGGGATGGACCGGCCATTAAAAATTTTTGAGGTTTCTTGCCCGGATTCGATATCCAATCTCTAGAGGGGTACGTCTGACTTCTTTCCTGTCCTGGCCATAAGATCATCAAACATTAATTGAGGTTAATAAATCTGAGGTTAATAAATTAATAAATCAAACTGAGGTTAATAAATCTGAGGTTTATAAATTAATAAATCAAACTGAGGTTAATAAATCTTAGGTTAATAAATTAATAAATCAAACTGAGGTTAATAAATAAAGCTAAATAAATTGAAGGAATCTTGCCTTTTCAAAACTTTTTTACCATGATACAAACAATACCTTTTCAATTTTTCTAGCGTAAATACTATTTAGATCATTCCAAATACGTGAGCCGTTCACAGCCCGGAACACGTACTTGTAAAATCTAAGTGACTCGTAAAACATGGAATTCATATAACACGGAATTATCTACAGTATTATAGGAAATCTACTGTAATCGCTAATCACTTCTCTCTTTTTCAATAAAAATTTACTTTTTTATATTCATTAAATATTGACGAATTTATTTTTGAAGACTTCAATATGGCGGCAATAATGTTTATGTTTCTCTAATTTATTAATTAATTAATAATATGAGAAGAAAATCGAGTTTTGAACGGTTATAATAATTGTAGTTTGTTACTCAATTAAACAATCTCCGTAATTTATCGGGCTATAAATTTGCTATTATTAATAATTAGATATTAAGTAATTTGGTATTAGAGGCGGATAATGAGCGCCATCTCTTATCTAAATTAATAATTATAATTTATTAAATAATTTAAAACTATTGTTAACATCTATTAAAGCCGAAATGCATTATTTACATATGACACGTCACCTTCTCTATCTCCTCAACCACTCGGAATTTAACCACCAAAATTTACTAAAATCTATACCCCTAATACCTCAATCTCCCTGCCAAATTTCAGAAATTTTCAACAAAAGCCACGGGAGTTATTAAACTTCAAAGTGGGTGAATAAAATGGCGAGTGGAAGGTATTGTAAGCTACGAGTAGAAGGTAATCTTTTAATAAATACACTCGTAGTATTGATCAATGGTTATTTACATCGCGCGGAAGATCAAATGAGTATTTTTCTCTAAAAATAAGTTAAAATATCGTATTAAAATAGAAAAAAATTTCGGGAAGTGTGCCAAAGTTTTAACACTTCCCGCGATAAAGCATCAGAAAAAAAATATATAGATATCGATGTTTACATTTGTCGTGGCACAAAGCGAAGGATGACGAGTGTACAGCACTAATTCCTCCTAAGTCTCAACGGAGTTTTAAAAGGTATAGCAATTTTATTTCATGTTTTTATTTAAATAATAAGCTTAAAGAATAATGTAAAAGTATACACGAAGCCTATATACAGTACAGTATACAACACGTAAGCTTATCTGTGTATTGATAGATAATTAACATCTGTTCGTATAGTGTTTTTAAACGTGTAAAATCGATATCAAAATTCAATTTAATTGTCAGTCGATCCCCCCTATAACACTGTTGATTATTCCGTTTTATATGAATTCCATGCTGTGCGAGTCACTTAGATTTTACAAATACATGTGCCGGGCTATGAACGGCTCACATATTTGTAAAATTTAAGTGACTCGTACAACATGGAATTCATATAAAACGGAATAATCAACATTGTTATAGGGGGGTCGACTGTAATTAAATACGTAACGGTTGTAACTCAGTTTTTACTTGGTTTACACAGTAAAAAATTTACAATATGACGGCTTAAACATGTAAAATTCTACATTTTTATATACTTTCTTCACTCGTCGGATGACTTAATTTGTAATTTTAGAATCACTTCCTTTGTTTATTCGACAGTTGACAGACAAACTTGAGAAACGTGACAAATTAGATTCGAGAAACAGAGAAAGTATTCTTAAAAAATATACTAAATTGTATACTTTTAGAGTTGAAAAAAATCCATTTTTAAAATAACTTTTAAGAGAAATTTGATAAACTTCTTCGAGTAAATAAATGAAAAATATATTTTCATTTTTTAATGTAAAAAAATAAGTGAGAGAGAGAGAGAGAATTCTTGTGTTAAAAATTACTTTTAGTTTCTAAATTTACTCGGGATATTTCTGAATTTTTCACTATCTTTTTACACTAGTTTGTACGAGAGTCAAATGTAAACAAAGATCAATTTAAATAGAGATTATAAACAGTATTTTTTTTGTAAAATTTAATTATAATAATACTTAATAAGTACAAGTCGACCCCCCTATAACACTGTTGATTTTTCCGTTTTATATGAATTTCGTGTTGTACGAGTCACTTAGATTTTACAAATACGTGTGCCGGGCTGTGAATGGATCACGTATTTGTAAAATCTAAGTGACTCGTACAACACGAAATTCATATAAAACGGAAAAATCAACAGTGTTATAGGGGGGTCGACTTGTATCAGGTTAAATTCATTAAATTTTGTAAGTATTTTATATAAAAAATTTCATAAAATAGATGTATGTAAAGTAGGCACGTACTGTACACCTTTCTCTCGAGTATATCTTGTTTCTTTATTTAATTATTTTGGGGTGGAAAATATATACAACATACCTCACACGCTTGTTAATTAATTAAGTGTCGACATCTTCACGGTTAAATGATTCATCATGTTGTAAAAAGTAGACTACTCGATTGCCAAGGATGTTAACAATTTTTATGTATCCTGTTTAACATTACAGTTGGCAATAAATATAAAAATTTACATTCTTTAGATATTAAATTATTCTAGATTGTTAATAATATTTTGTCACGTTTAAGGTAGTTTAGTGGATTATACAACCGAACACTGGCACTTAACCAATAGACGTAGAGTTTTCAGGGTTTTCTTCGCTTGTCTAATAACGAAGTAGGGGTCAGTTTCCCATATTCTCGCTTATACAACATCTAAATAAAGGTTAGTTTACTGTATCTTCTCTTTACTAACATCTAAATAAAGGTTAGTTTACTGTATCTTCTCTTTACTAACATCTAAATAAAGGTTAGTTTNACATTAATTGAGGTTAATAAATCTGAGGTTAATAAATTAATAAATCAAACTGAGGTTAATAAATCTGAGGTTTATAAATTAATAAATCAAACTGAGGTTAATAAATCTTAGGTTAATAAATTAATAAATCAAACTGAGGTTAATAAATAAAGCTAAATAAATTGAAGGAATCTTGCCTTTTCAAAACTTTTTTACCATGATACAAACAATACCTTTTCAATTTTTCTAGCGTAAATACTATTTAGATCATTCCAAATACGTGAGCCGTTCACAGCCCGGAACACGTACTTGTAAAATCTAAGTGACTCGTAAAACATGGAATTCATATAACACGGAATTATCTACAGTATTATAGGAAATCTACTGTAATCGCTAATCACTTCTCTCTTTTTCAATAAAAATTTACTTTTTTATATTCATTAAATATTGACGAATTTATTTTTGAAGACTTCAATATGGCGGCAATAATGTTTATGTTTCTCTAATTTATTAATTAATTAATAATATGAGAAGAAAATCGAGTTTTGAACGGTTATAATAATTGTAGTTTGTTACTCAATTAAACAATCTCCGTAATTTATCGGGCTATAAATTTGCTATTATTAATAATTAGATATTAAGTAATTTGGTATTAGAGGCGGATAATGAGCGCCATCTCTTATCTAAATTAATAATTATAATTTATTAAATAATTTAAAACTATTGTTAACATCTATTAAAGCCGAAATGCATTATTTACATATGACACGTCACCTTCTCTATCTCCTCAACCACTCGGAATTTAACCACCAAAATTTACTAAAATCTATACCCCTAATACCTCAATCTCCCTGCCAAATTTCAGAAATTTTCAACAAAAGCCACGGGAGTTATTAAACTTCAAAGTGGGTGAATAAAATGGCGAGTGGAAGGTATTGTAAGCTACGAGTAGAAGGTAATCTTTTAATAAATACACTCGTAGTATTGATCAATGGTTATTTACATCGCGCGGAAGATCAAATGAGTATTTTTCTCTAAAAATAAGTTAAAATATCGTATTAAAATAGAAAAAAATTTCGGGAAGTGTGCCAAAGTTTTAACACTTCCCGCGATAAAGCATCAGAAAAAAAATATATAGATATCGATGTTTACATTTGTCGTGGCACAAAGCGAAGGATGACGAGTGTACAGCACTAATTCCTCCTAAGTCTCAACGGAGTTTTAAAAGGTATAGCAATTTTATTTCATGTTTTTATTTAAATAATAAGCTTAAAGAATAATGTAAAAGTATACACGAAGCCTATATACAGTACAGTATACAACACGTAAGCTTATCTGTGTATTGATAGATAATTAACATCTGTTCGTATAGTGTTTTTAAACGTGTAAAATCGATATCAAAATTCAATTTAATTGTCAGTCGATCCCCCCTATAACACTGTTGATTATTCCGTTTTATATGAATTCCATGCTGTGCGAGTCACTTAGATTTTACAAATACATGTGCCGGGCTATGAACGGCTCACATATTTGTAAAATTTAAGTGACTCGTACAACATGGAATTCATATAAAACGGAATAATCAACATTGTTATAGGGGGGTCGACTGTAATTAAATACGTAACGGTTGTAACTCAGTTTTTACTTGGTTTACACAGTAAAAAATTTACAATATGACGGCTTAAACATGTAAAATTCTACATTTTTATATACTTTCTTCACTCGTCGGATGACTTAATTTGTAATTTTAGAATCACTTCCTTTGTTTATTCGACAGTTGACAGACAAACTTGAGAAACGTGACAAATTAGATTCGAGAAACAGAGAAAGTATTCTTAAAAAATATACTAAATTGTATACTTTTAGAGTTGAAAAAAATCCATTTTTAAAATAACTTTTAAGAGAAATTTGATAAACTTCTTCGAGTAAATAAATGAAAAATATATTTTCATTTTTTAATGTAAAAAAATAAGTGAGAGAGAGAGAGAGAATTCTTGTGTTAAAAATTACTTTTAGTTTCTAAATTTACTCGGGATATTTCTGAATTTTTCACTATCTTTTTACACTAGTTTGTACGAGAGTCAAATGTAAACAAAGATCAATTTAAATAGAGATTATAAACAGTATTTTTTTTGTAAAATTTAATTATAATAATACTTAATAAGTACAAGTCGACCCCCCTATAACACTGTTGATTTTTCCGTTTTANACATCTAAATAAAGGTTAGTTTACTGTATCTTCTCTTTACTAACATCTAAATAAAGGTTAGTTTACTGTATCTTCTCTTTACTAACATCTAAATAAAGGTTAGTTTACTGTATCTTCTCTTTACTAACATCTAAATAAAGGTTAGTTTACTGTATCTTCTCTTTACTAACATCTAAATAAAGGTTAGTTTACTGTATCTTCTCTTTACTAACATCTAAATAAAGGTTAGTTTACTGTATCTTCTCTTTACTAACATCTAAATAAAGGTTAGTTTACTGTATCTTCTCTTTACTAACATCTAAATAAAGGTTAGTTTACTGTATCTTCTCTTTACTAACATCTAAATAAAGGTTAGTTTACTGTATCTTCTCTTTACTAACATCTAAATAAAGGTTAGTTTACTGTATCTTCTCTTTACTAACATCTAAATAAAGGTTAGTTTACTGTATCTTCTCTTTACTAACATCTAAATAAAGGTTAGTTTACTGTATCTTCTCTTTACTAACATCTAAATAAAGGTTAGTTTACTGTATCTTCTCTTTACTAACATCTAAATAAAGGTTAGTTTACTGTATCTTCTCTTTACTAACATCTAAATAAAGGTTAGTTTACTGTATCTTCTCTTTACTAACATCTAAATAAAGGTTAGTTTACTGTATCTTCTCTTTACTAACATCTAAATAAAGGTTAGTTTACTGTATCTTCTCTTTACTAACATCTAAATAAAGGTTAGTTTACTGTATCTTCTCTTTACTAACATCTAAATAAAGGTTAGTTTACTGTATCTTCTCTTTACTAACATCTAAATAAAGGTTAGTTTACTGTATCTTCTCTTTACTAACATCTAAATAAAGGTTAGTTTATTGTATCTTCTCTTTACTAACATCTAACTAGTATCAGTTTTCTATACCTATAAACCCCTTATTAAAGGTGGATTATTTGCTCAGGAAGTAATTAATTAGCTACAGGGATTATTTTGAGGAATAACCTATATAGCATTTAAAATAAACACCGAAAATTTGTCGATTCAGATATTTTTCCTTCATTTAGAAAGGCAAACAACTTATTATTTTTGGCAAGAGTGTATCATTTCTACTTACATTGTACTTAAGTTTCTATTAATTGCATGGTTTCTCTTCAAAAATGCTTTTTATTAATGTATTTATATATATAAAATATCGATTTCTTTAAGACAATATATTATAATAGTTACAATATGAAGTCATTCGTTCTGTGTAGGTGTATTCACAACCGCATTGCACGTGTATATCGACAATACAACACGTGCTAGGTACCTTCTTCATACTTCTATTTATATATTTATCTGCAAATTTAACATAAAAAATCCATTTTATCCTGCATATTATTAAGGGAGTGGGTATTTTATTATTTCAATTTTTATAAGAAGAGACACCATGTTTATGAAAGCAATTACATATACATATGTACTGTTTCCTTCTGGAATGCTTAATTCAAATTATTCATTAAACATTTCGGGTGTAAGTGTATTTAATCTTCACCCCTTTTCGGTGTATAACTATAATAAGAGAAATAATAAAGGCAAGTTCCAATTATTTCCAATAAAGATCCTTTCCATCCTATCAGTTATTGAACTCTTGCTGCGTGGCTTTCTCCGGACTTATAGTCTATATTATCTAGAATAAAGGCTGAGAATACTTCTGAATACTTAAAATATGGTAAGTTTCTGTTATATAACATAATAAAAAAATCTATGGTAAATAATTACATAAGTTGTAATTTGTTATATTGAAAAAAATAACAGGGAAATACGGTTAATTTTTACAACGTTTCCTTTGCAGAATCATCGTTATTTCTACAAAATGTCAGAAGAGAATTTCGTGAACATCACACTGCAAGAAACAGTTTGCACGAAAAATTGTTCGCTGAATCAAACAATAGTAAATCAGTCGACTTGCAGATTCGTTCCCGAAATTAGATACCTCCTGACGTGTTGCGTAGTCCTTTCTATTCTGTGCGCGTACTTCGTCTCTATAGTTTATTCGTGCATTTCTGAATTTAGGAATTTACACGGAAAGATCTTAATATCAATTTCTTTATGTTTAGGAACATTTTACACTACTCTATTGTTAGGAGTTTACCTTCGTCCGTTTATATCGTACTCCATTTGCGTACTGTTCGGTACAATCATTTACATTGTATTTATCGCATCGTTCTATTGGACCAACGCCTTATCTTACGACATATGGAGGGGTCTAACTAACAAAACTTTGCTCTCGATAACACACCACAGGCGACAGTACCTCAAGTATTCCATTTACGCGTGGATTATGACCATTTTAACTTCGATTCCCATGATTATAGTACAAAATACGAGTACCATAGAAAGATTTCATCCCCGGTTGGGTAATCCCTTTTGTTGGATTGTAGAAAGAGAAGCAAAATTAATATATTTAAGCCTACCGGTTGGACTTATACTCGCTTCTAACGCTATTATGTTTGTTATGACAATGAAAACACTAGTAAAGGCCAACGATACGGCTTGTATTCTACAACTAAATCAACACAGAAGCAAGTAAGTATATTTTACTTATCTTAATTTGAATTTACAACCGATAAATTATATTTATACGTTAACTTTTGCAGCATTAAACTGTACTTAAAGCTGTATTTGGTGATGGGATTGCTCTGGATGTCAGACTTTATTTACGCTATATATCCTGAATGTTATTTACAGCTTACAATTGATTTTATATGTTCCCTCCATGGGGTGTTTTTGTTCCTCGTGTACATATGCAAAGAGAATGTGATCAAAAAACTGTTTAAATTTCAAGGCAACGGAGGTGATTCTGCATCAAATACTCTCCAGTTGAGTTAATTATCCATTGTATTATTATTATTATTATACAGAACATGTTCGGAATGTAAGTACTATATAAAAATAACTCTTCCATACTTTTTTCCAATCAAAGAAATTGTATAGAGAAACTTGTGAAAGTAATGAAAATTCAGCAGTGAGTTGCGTAACTTTTCCGGCAAGATATGACACATTATCTTCTCGACTTTTAACCATCAAAATTGAATAGTACCAATGCCCCATAACGCAAACGTCCTTACATGCTTTTCCATACTTTTCCTCTGTTATAAAACACTAACAAAGTAAAGGGATGCATAAAAAGGCATACATGAATGATATATAAGATCCTAACGCTAATACGACTTTTATAAATAGAGAAATTTCCTTCTCTCCATGGATAGAAGTATAAATTACCTAGAAAATAACATGCGAATGTGCGTGTAATTTTTCTTTAAACTTTGATTCAAGAAAGTACATCGATAGTAAATTATAGAAAGAACTCACAAGGTCAAAAATTTCTCATTATACGGCTTATACACAGTAGTTGCAACTTACACACACCTACGCGCGACGTTAGTTTTTTCTTTATTTATTTCACTTCTGTCATCGTTGTCATTGAACATTTTAAAAATAGAAAGATATTTACACTGTGAAGGAGGTGGAGGATTTTTTTTTTTACAAAATAAACCAGCAACCAGCTTAATTTTTACAGCAAGAATGGGTTTTATAAAAATTGTAAATGCTTATAACCAGTTAAATCGTCATTAAGTCCGAACTGAAGATACACCCGACTCTATTATCTCCTCACCCCCCTCGACCTTCAATAACTAAAATTTAATACCACCAATCCCCCCCTAAAACACAAACCCCCGAATGCATCCGTATACAGCAGAATATTAAGAACACTGAGTGTAAATCATATAAAAAAAACTCGTGTATATTAGGTGAGAGCAAGGTAAACATTTGACTTTCACTTACATTTACTAGGAATTTATCATTTTTAGATTGAGAACACGAGGTCTGACAAAGTAATGAACTGATAAAATAAAGAAAAGTGATGAAAAATTGCATTTTTTTTAGCCCATAAATTCGAAATTAATACATTATTTAAATTAAAATTAATGCATTATTCTAAAAGACAAAATTTTTTTGCTGACAAATCAAGTGTTAGATGAATAAGAACTTCACCTTGATCCTCGACCCTTAAACAAAAACGAAATGAATGTAAAGTGTCAAGCTGTCTTTCATATTTAACTTTTAAATGGAAATTTAAATAGAAGGAGTACACTTTGTAAAATTTTAATAAGAATAATCTAATTTAATCCAGTATATTTTATATTAATTTAATAGAAAATTAATGTTCTAACTAACCTCTGACTGATATTTAAAATAACCTGTCAGCTTGTAAATCGTTTGTCAACACCAACAAATTCAGTTAATTCTTTTATTTTCTTTAGTTTTTATGTTAAGGAATTAGCAAATTTCCTTCAACTGAAAGCCAATCCCGAAGAGAATGCAACGTGCAATTAAAGGCAATCACAGACATATTTTGTTAAAAAAATCATTGTATAAAATAACAATTTTAATGTAAATTATAAACTTTTAAAAAGAAAATCCTAATAGGATCGTTGAATTTCTGAATTCTTAAGCTTATTTTAAGGATATTCAATTCTCTAAGAAATTGAAAGCCATCATAACAAAATGAGATTCTTCAACGAATCGTTGAAGAATCTCAAGAATAAAAAAGTAATTCACTTTTATTATTTGTTTTTTAAATAATAAATTAACTTGAATATTAAAAATCGGTAGAAAAATTATTGAAACTTCCTTTTTCCTCTTGGCATTTTTGTAAATTCTGAGTGCTGAGATGAAATGAAGATTTGCGACAAAGAGGAGAGCATCCACAATTTTTGAAAAATTCAAAAAATTGTTTTATGATCTTCTTTTTACAAATAAAAATGACAAATAGAAAAAATCCGTGAAGACAATTTAAAAAGTCACTCACTAAATATAAATGACAATTTTTAAACATAATTGGGAAAAAATCGGTCATCCACACCAACCCCATTATCAGGAAGAGTTTGAAGTATAATTTAAATCTGAAAAAAAAAAGTAAAAATCAATTTTAGTTTTACAGAAAAGGAGTATAATACAGTAGAGTCTGTATAGTCCGTCACTCGACAGTCCGACAAGTCCAGAAATCCAACTGCAACTCACATAAAATTTTCGTGTTTTCGCTCGCTATATACAACACAAAGAGAGACAGGTATAGGTGTTATAGATAATTGTGATTAATACAATAAAGTAACCGGTGAATTAATTGTTATTTTTACTGTACAAAATCCAGTAATCCGACATATATCGGATCGTCGTGGTTGATGTCGGATTACTAGACGTGTCAAACTGTAGAGATATACTACTTCTATTGTTATAGAAGATAAAAAAAAAAAAATAAGGAACTTACTGAATATTATTTTCTCGAATTTGGAAAGTTTGCGTCATCTTATTTATCTGGACCAGACTCTTAATAGTAAGGACGAACATCACCAAATTCGACAAGAGTATAACACCAGTCGGAGCACTCATGAATATTCGAGCACCGACGAACCCATTAAACCAACAATTCCTCTTGCCAATTCCAGGATGAAATGCTTCTGGGACCAAGTTCGTATTCTGCACCACGATCAGAGGGATGCAAGTTAAAATGGTGGAAGTCCATGCATAGACGGAATATCTGAGATACTTCTTCGAATGCTTGGAGTTCGCAGATCCTGTGGAGGAACATATGGTCTTCCAAATGTCATAGGCCATGATATTCAACCAAAAAAAAGTAGCAATTAGCATGATGTAAGTTACAATTCCTATTGCAACGCACGCGGGGAGGGATAAAAACGGTTGCAGGTATACGTCGAGGAACACGAAGAAATACATGGATCCTAGACATCCGGAAAAGGACATCAAGATTTTTCCATGTAAAGTCTTTGATTCTGATACGATTATGTATACCATAATGGTGACGATAACGCATAATATCGACAGTATCATTGAAAATGTGACGATGGGTGCCATGATGGCATAAGACGAACATTTAATTGAAGACTTGTTGCTGATGTTCATAACTTCAGGTAATGCTGTTACTTTAATGATATCCATATTATTTTCAGTTCTGTATGAAAGGTTTTATCATACTTTTTATCTAATCAGCCGTGTGATACTGATTATCTGAAAAGGAAGGTAAAGTTTCATAATATATTCTCTGAAATTTGTAATTATTCCACGTTAAAATTATTAAGAAACACAAAGAGTATAGTAACTGTTAATAAACAGGAAGGATGTCACAGCAGAGGTGTTTGAACTGTTTAAACGTGTCTATAATTACAATTATTAAAACATGATTTTTAAGACACGAGAAGGTACAATATTTTATTAATTTCTGCATAAAAATATTAACTTGCCTTAATATTTAGTCAGAATTAACCACTAAAATACAATCGAACCTCTTATAACGTCCACCTCTGAACAACGGTCAGTTACCGTTACCATAAGTGGCCGTTGTTCAGAGGTTTGACTGTATTAGCAAATAGAGTACTGTTTAGCTATATATATATATATGATAACTGTTGTAATTATATTGGAGAAGATGAACTGAAAAAAACACAACTTACCTATTACTTTCAGTACAGGAAATGATGTAGAATGACCTTATACATCATACTTATACCTACATAACTCGTTTTCTTAATTCTTCCACGAAGCATTTTCCATTGTAGTAATATATTTTACTTATATTAAGAATAAATGAATGAAATATCGGATTTTGTGTGATGTCTTTTTCGTGTGTATTTGACGTGCACTCTAGAATGACCTTGTCTTTATAATATTGTATTTAAGCAGACAACGTCAAACTAAGTTTATCTTCCTATACATCGCTTTGTTTTCTGAAAAAAACTTTCATTTTATAACGTCATAAACCTGCTTGATACCCGTTCTTAAGACCTCTTAAGCGAGTGTGGACTAAATTAGGTATTGTAACCATCAATTATATATGCTAGAATTGCTCCAATGTAGTTATAATTTAACGGTAATAACTTTTAGTAGTGTTAACCCCTTCCTTTTCCTGACTTTAGTAAATGAAAGTGATTAAACTAGTATTGATCAATAATATTTAAAACATTAGCCATCATCCCTCACTACTTGGTCTCTTCATTTGTGAGCCAACAGAACAGAAAATCAGAAAAAATACAGTCATAATATGCCACTCAGTACATAATTAACAGTGTTACATGCAGAAGGGGTAGGTAATTTTATTATTTTTATCAATATAGTATCAGATAGATTGAAGGTAAGATGCTAGATAATGTCTCAGGCAACTACGAACACGTAAAACTTGTTATAGCCGTAAAAATATAAGAGAAACAATGAAATAGTAATAAAATTATCTCATAATGTTTAATAAATCGGCTTCTTTATTTCTGTTATTACATAGGAAGCTTTCACGAAAACAGCAAATTACCTGCAGTACACGTTATCAAAAATACATACAGTCGACCCCCTATAACACTGTTGATTATTCCGTTTTATATGAATTCCATGTTTTACGAGTCACTTAGATTTTACAAATATGTGAGCCATTCACAGCCCGGCAAACGTATTTGTAAAATCTAAGTGACTCGTACAACATGGAATTCATATAAAACGAAATATTCAACAGTGTTATAGGGGGGTCGACTGTGTATTTATCATTTAAACAGATAATATTAATATCTAAATATCGGTGACAGAGGTAGAAAAACTTTCTTTTCTTCCGCTGTATTCTTCCAAATTGCCACCAGTGTCCAGATGAAACGACGGTTTCTTGCATAAAGATGAGCAATTACGGTTTTTGCAAGAATCAAAAATCGGTTTAAGGATTTTCTTTTTGCAAATAAAAATCAGGAAGAGAAAAAGTCCGTGCAGAGAATTTAGAGTATCGGCCACCAGATATAAATGACAATTTTTAAACATAAAAGGGATGAAATCCGTCACCCAAACCAGTCCCATTACCAGGAAGAGTTTGAAGTATAATTTGAACCTGAAAAATAAATAAAAGGTGACGTTCGTGTTTAATAATTTATAAATAGAAATTTGGGAAATTAGTTTAAAAAGAACTTTTTTTTTTTTTTGCTCTGGAGAATTAGGTGTAGAAGAGGAGTCTTTTTCTTTTGAGGAATTAGGTGTAAAAGAAGATAAATTCAAAGAAATGACAAGAAAATTAAGGATAAAATACACTGTAGTATCTAAATTACAGCCCTGATTATTCATATTTATTTTAGAATTTTACTTACTGAATTTTATTCTGTCGAACTTGAAACTTCTGTGTCATATTATCTATCCGAACGAGAGTCTTTGTAGTAAGGATGAACATCACTATGTTGGTGAATAGTATAACACCAATTGGTGCACTCATATAAATTAAAGGAGCAGTGGATCCTCTAAACCAACAAATTCCGTCTCCTATTCCCGGGTGATATTCCTTAGAAACTAAATTCGTATTTTGCATGACAATCAGAGGGATGCAGGTAAGAATAGTCGAAGTCCAAGCGTAAGCGGAATACCTGAGATATTTCTTTGAATGCCTGGAATTTGTGGTTGTTGTGGTAGAGCTTACTGTCTTCCAAAGATCGTATGTCATGACGTTCAACCAATAAAATGTAGCTAAGAACATAATGTAAGTTACAGTTCCTATTGTAACGCATACGGAAATGGGCAAGTACGGTTGTAAGTATATGTCGAAGAGCAGAAGGAAATACATAATACCCAGACAACTCGAAAGGGATATCAAGATTTTTCCATGTAAAGTCTTCGATTCTGATATGATTATATACACAATAATGGTTATGATTATGCACAGTACTGATAAAATAATGGTGGTTGCGAGAATGGGTTGTATAATATCATATGTTGGACATGTATTTAAAGATGTTTTGTTAATAATGTTTGTAACTTCCGGTAAAGTAGTCTCGTTGCTGATATCCATCACCTCAAATAACACCGATTCGTTACTGATATTCGTATTACCTTTGATTGTTTATTGCACTTTAATCCACCTTTACGAGAAATTTCTTACGTGGCATCAGACACCTGCAGAAGGAAATTAAAGCTTTTTAATGTACTCTTCATACGATTACACTCTTAATTTTTTGAGTATAATCGTATGAAAATGCCATAAGTTTTATTCATACAATAATAATAATAATATCATATATAAGAAAAAATAATTACATGTAATTAAAAAGCATCTGATATATTTTAAAACTCTTCATTAATACAGAGAGCTTCCTATGGTATTCTCAATTAATAAATATTAAAATATACTCCTTTATTTTATTAAGTTAACTTACCTTCATATTTTAATGCGGATCTCTATTTATTATTAAAAGTTGAAATATCAAAGGGATGAAGTGTCTATTAATATATATATCATTTGATAAGGTTAGAATGAATGTTGTCAATTGTTTATCCCGCATGAGGGTAGATTCTTGTCAAATGTCACAATTGTCTACAACCTCATTTTCTAAAAATACTCGAATTTCGTCCAATTTTACTAATAAAATCAGCCAATTCGTAAATACAATACATATACACAGAATAAGAATAGATATTTATTGTGCAATAATTTGTTTATAATATGAATACAGGCCGTTTGAAGTGCGACTGGAGGACTGGATAAAATAGCACAGTAACACGGTGTGTAAAGAATAATAATAATTTTAAACCCGTTTAAAGAGCGTATTTTCTCAAATACAGAAAACAATAGAAAAGTTCTCGCAGTCTGGTATTATTAACGTGTTAGATAATTATTACAGATTCAAGAGTAACTGAAATTACATTTCACATCTTATAAAACAATTAAAATATTTAAGAAACAAACTTCTTACCTATTATTCACTTCCAAACTGGAAAGATGTCAAAAGACCTCTGCCGTGACCTTGCATTCTACTTAGAAAACACGTTACTACCAGGAAGTATTCACACACTTTTCCTTTTAATTTAAACACTGATACGAGGATGAAGAGAATGTACGAAACTTACTGACCCCTAATTCTCTCTAACCTAATTAGAAGTTGTTGATCACTTACTTGGCTAGAACTTACCTAATTTTTCCTATGTTTTTGTGTATTTACTATACCCTACTGGATATTATACACTTTCACATGCACCCTAGGTCCCAATAAATAGAAGAAATATAGCCTCAATAAATACGCCAAAGTATTTCGGAGGTGGAAGTCAAATACACACTGTATTTCTTCGTTAGAATGCTCATAAATTTGGGTCTTGGCGTAAATAATTAGAACACTGGCTTCAATTAAAATCTCAATTTTCTCAGAATTTGTTAGAATTTAATGCTTTTCTATACACTCCCCCCAGCAATTTGATGCACCATTTGACGTAGCCTTGTCTTGAGATGGTGACTTCCAATCACGTATTTACTCAACGTCACGCGATGTTTGTGAGAAACTACACTGTATTTAATGAACTAAATCCATTAGTTAATTTGTTGACAGATCCCTTTGAAAGATGGAAGAATGTAATGAGCATTCTTAGACTCAAAATGGCTGCCAAGTTGCCATTGTGGATGACCCGATTCCGTTGGACAAATAAAGACATTGCTTTCAAATTGTATACAATTTTATAACAATAATATTTAAGCTTCAACTTGATTCTAGAGTTTACATAGCATTGATAATATGGAACGATCCTGGGAATAAAAATAGCCACAATATTCTGTTGTGAATACAGCCATTGCTTGTAACAAAAGTTGGCAATCTTGACAATGTTTGTTATACTTTCTCTTCTATTCTTTTTATCTTGATTTTGATACAACGTTTGGGCAATGAGTTTAACGCCTGGTTTCTTCCTATAATGACTAAATTTTAAACATTTCAGGGGATAGAGAAATAGAGATGGTCACGTGTCATATTTCGAAAATGGGAGGGTTTTAATGAGGGTTTTATTTGTTACTACCATTTATAATCTTTTATAAAAGTTATCTCTTCTTTCAAAATTAAACGTTTTGACATTTTAAAATAATTAATAACATAAAACGACTTTTTTTTAAATAAAAAATCTCGTAACAGATGGCGCCACACACATTCTTGTTTTCCCAGTTATTATGAGATTTTATTTTAAAAATATCTTGTGTGGCGCCATCTTGTGTTATTATTATTAAATTCAAAAAAAGATTAATTTTCAGGTAGGGATAAGTTTTATAAACATAATAAATGCTAATAATAGGTAGAATCGTCATTAATGCCGACTTCTCTTTATCTCGACCTTTAATTGCTAAAAGTTATTATTATCAATGCCCCTTTTCTAAAGGCTATTGATGCCCCTTGCATTAAATTTTGACAGAAGGGACGGGTTTTATAAAGGAAAAATTCTTAATTATCCTTAAATCCGACCCTATTAGAGATACGACGCGACCCCTTTATCTCTCTACCCCTCGACCTTTAATTAACCACCGTTGCTTGGACCAATGGCAAATATTAACATAATGTCTTCAATTGTATTTATATTGTATTTTCACCAGTTCGTTTAAAAAAAAAACTACACTATACCAGTATAATTTGCTGATACATTAAAGACATTCTACTGTATACGGATAGCATTTAGTCCCCTCCCTTATGGCCTTCTCCTGTCATTTAAGAGCAAATACAGGATACTACATGTCTTCAGCCAGTTAGTGTCTGGCTATTTTTTTTATGTGTGTTTATTGTTTTCTCGTTGTAATTACTCAATCTTGTGTTGCGTAAAATTTAAATATATGGGATTATAATTGGGGAAGTGATGGATGCTTCAGACATTGTAAAAATCTGGCAAATCTCAAAAATGTTTCGTATAGTTATTTGTCAAATAATACCCAGGAATAATTTGGCGCTTAGATTAACCCCATAAAAGATTTAATAATTAAATTTTGAAGGTAGAATAAAATTAATTGTATTAACCAAATCTTGTATAATGGCTGATAAATACTTATATTTATTATATGTCTCTTCAAACGGTAGACTTTCTTTCAGCTCTAAGGTTAAGTATTCCTTTATTGTAAATTACATATGCATTTCAGGCTTGTATAGATATTTACTGTTTTTAAGGTTTGGAAATTATACTCATATACGATTTTTATTCATGTGTTTCGTTGATAATAATGTCATAGTCGATGTCATACAATTTTTATAAAATATTTTTAAAAAGTGTTACTCAACCATCTGAGGTATGGAAAAGAATTTAATGTTGGTTAATCTTTACACGGGAAAAAAATTTTTTGTAAATTGATTTTTGTTTTTTAAATTTTGTGTAGAATTACACTGAAGAGGGGCTCATACAAGCCTGAAATGCATATGTAATTTACAATAAAGGAATACTTAACCTTAGAGCTGAAAGAAAGTCTACCGTTTGTTAACCATTCGGATTGAAGAGACATATAATAAATATAATTGTATTAAATTAAATTACACAATGATTAATTTTATCAACAGATGGAGGTACAGTACACATGCCTTTAGTGCCGAGTTATCACACATTCAATTGTTTAATAGCCAAACAATCGCCCGATAAATATCGTAAAATTTCTCGTATTCACTTTATCAAGAATATTTTCCACGCTTTACTAATTGATTATATAAATATATATACTTTTTCCCTAATACAATCTTGAAATATTTAAGTACAGTAGACCCCTCTATAACACTGTTGATAATTCCGTTTTATATGAATTCCATGTTGTACGAGTCACTTAAATTTTACAAATACGTGAGCCGTTCACAGCCCGGCACACGTATTTTGTAAAATCTAAGTGACTCGTACAACACGGAATTCATATAACACGGAATTATCAAGAGTGTTATGGGGGTCGACCGTATTTCGCATCAGACAGGTTTTGAGGTTAGAGGAAATGTCATATAAAGTATCTCCAGTGGAAAAAATCGTGAGTGGGAAATTAAATCCCGTTTTTAAGTTAAAATGTCAAGAAGATAATAGTAAATTTTCTTTAAAATAGTTAATGGTAATGTTTATTCTTACTGAAATACTGTTTACAATGCGAATTTAATTGGAAAACATTTCCAGAAAGGTGAAGGAACCTTATTTATAATAATTTACATTCCTTTATCGTGTTGATTTTTCAATTATTTGTACAGAGGTTACGTTAATGAATACAGTAGAGTCTCTGTAATGCGACATACATCCGACTCGCGGGTATCGGATCACTTGATTTTTGTATATAAGTACGTACTGTACAGTAAAAACACACAGTAGTAACACGAAAATTTCATGTGCATCGCTCTGCAGTGAAATGTCTGATTACCAGACTTAGAGTGACAGACTATAGAGACTCTACTGCGCTTCGTATTAAATACATCGATTCTGGCAAATATACAAAGCTCAAGAATAAATAAACTGAAAAAAAAAAATTAAAATAGCTAATTACGTACATAAAATATAATTTAAATTATGAAAATTTTAGACATTTTCTCAAAAAATTTAAAGTTTTTTCACAATGAAAAGTCGAGAACAATTCCAATAAAATACCAGTCGACCCCCCTATAACACTGTTGATTATTCCGTTTTATATGAGTTCCATGTTGTACGAGTCACTTAGATTTTACATATACGTATTCTAGGCTCTGGACGGCTCAGGTATATGTAAAATCTAAGTGACTCGTACAACATGGAATTCATATAAAACGGAATATTCAACAGTGTTATAGGGGGGGTCGACTTGTATGCAAAACCACGATGCTTTGAGCCACGTATGTACAAGAGGATCGAGAATAAATTTACTACTATTATTATTATTTGCTAAATAATTTAAAGAAATGTCTAAATATCGGTGACGGAGGTAGAAAAACTTCCTTTACTTCCGCTGTATTCTTCCAAATTGCCAGTGTCCAGATGAAACGACGATTTCTTGCATAAAGATGCGCATCCACGGATTTTGCAGAAATCAAAAATGGGTTTCAGAATCTTCTTTTTGCAAATAAAAATCAGGAAGAGAAAAAGTCCGTGCAGGGCATTAAATGTGTCGGTTATCAGATAAATATGGCAGTTATCGAACATGGACGGGATGAAATCGGTCATCCACGACAGTCCCATTATTAAGAAGAGTTTTAAATATAATTTGAACCTGAAAAATAAATTTTAATTTACATTTGTAAAATTTATCTACACTAATTTTCTTTAATTAATTAAAAAGATCACTCGTATTAGAATTATAAATGATAGTACAGTTAATACGTATGTATTATATACCCCTGTATGTATGGATCTTAGTGTGGATATGGGGGCATGATTTTGCAATGAGATTTGTCTATTAGGGGCATTAATGGTATTAAATTTTGGCAGTTAAAGGTCAAGGTATTGAGAGATAGAGGAAGTAAATATGTCATATTTCGAATGGGGTGGGTCTTTGATGAAGATTTTACTGGTCATTAGCATTTATATTTTTTATTATAATTTCGATTACAATGCTAATAATAACTAATAATAAGATGATTTATAGAACTTTACTTACTGAATTTTATTCTGTCGAAGTTGAAACTTCTGTGTCATATTATCTATCTGTACGAGAGTCTTTGTGGTAAGGATGAACATCACTATGTTGGAGAACAGTATAATACCAATAGGAATACTCATATAAATTAAAGGAGCAGTATATCCCTTAAACCAACAGCTTACTTCTCCTATTCCTGGGTGATATTTTTCAGGAACCAAATTCGTATTTTGTACGATGATCATGGGTATACAGGTGATAATGGTGGAAGTCCAAGCGTAAGCAGAATACCTGAGATATTTCTTTGAATGCCTGGAATTTGTGGATGCTGTGGTGGAGCTTACTGTCTTCCAAAGATCGTAAGTCATGACGTTCAACCAATAAAATGTCGCTATGAACATAATGTAAGTTACAGTTCCCATTGTCACGCATAAGGTGATGGTTAGGTATGGTTGCAAGTACACTGCCAAGAAGAGGAGAGAATACATAGTTCCTAGACACGCGGACAAAGATATCAAGATTTTTCCATGTAAAGTCTTCGATTCTGATACTAGTATATACACAATAATGGTTATGATTAGACACACCACTGACAAAACGATGGCGGTTGCGATAATGGGTTGTATAATCTCGAGAGTTGGACATTTGTTTATTGAAGTTTCATTGTTGATTTTCGTAACTTCCGGTAATGTAGTTCCGTTGCTGATATCCACCACCTCAAATAACACTGCTTCGTTGCTGATATTCATGTTTACTTTGATGAATTATTACACTTTAATCCACCTTTACAAGGAATTTCTTACGTGGCATCAGACACCTGCAGAAGGAAATTAAAGCTTTTAAATATGCTGTTTAGACTGAAAATTTAATATTTTAGGAAATATTTTGTTAAATAACGTCATATCTCCTTGTTATTATGGAAGAAATAAGAAACTTTCTCCATAATGGAAACAATTGTGCAATTATCGAAAAGGTTAAACATTACTTTTCTAGGAAACTTCTAACTCCAGTTTTTAATACTTAATCGTTTCCTTGTGATAAAAATAAAACTAGAATTTTATACAATAGACTGTAAACCGTTTTCTATAAATAAATAAACAATACACCTATACAAATCGTAATAAATTCTCTTATAACTTCTGAAAGAAATCTGTAAAAGTCAGTCTTTTACAGTCTACAAGAGCGTAACGGACAGACTTTTCGAATAATCACATCAGAATACATCTCTGGTACAGACACAAATTAAAACTAAATATATTTACCATTATAAATAAAATTAAACAATTAATGCAATTATATAAAGAGCATTTATAATGTGTGAAGACTTACTATATTCAGTGCAGAAACCAGAAGATTGGGATTTTCTCTATAACGTCACACACAATTAGTGACACACCTCTTTACTGTTAGATGCCATTTAAGGAAATAAAAGGATAAACAATATTCGAAAAAAATTTCCCTGATTCAAAGAAATCAATCTTTGATGCCTCCTCTCGAAGATCCCGAATCACCTTTCTATTCCGTGTTAAGTAACACTACGTTATATTGTCTAGAAGTCGGCAATAGTCAGGGTAAACATTAAAAAAAAAAGTCACAATTACTACTAAAAATAAAAATTCCACACAGGAAATATAATGGTGAGAGAAACGTGTTTTACTCGTTGTTAGAATGTCGTTTAGATTATAAAAAAAAAACCCATTGTCTTGTTCGTATTTTTATGTACAGAATCGAAATAATAATGCATAGTTTATATAACATTGTGCTTCTTGCTTGCACAGATGATGCTTGAAACCTTGATTTTGTGACAATCCAGTTGTTACGCAACTTCAGGCACTTCAATAACAAATCCAACCAAAAATGAAGTTGGTTTTACACCCACGTTAATCAAATATACCAAATTCTTTGAGGTTCTTCAGGGTTTTATTTATTAGTTATGTCAGAAAACTTTTATTACGTAAAAGACTACTTAAATCAGTATTCAGAATAACTTGGTGAGGAATATATAATTAAATGGATCCTTGAAGAATTCGGGAAATTACTGTATATACATTGTTTAACTATTTCTTTTATGAAGTAAATTCACGTCATAGCAAGACGTTATAAAAGATAAGTAATTATTAACTATAATGGCTATTAAAAAGCGTTACTGTGTTAGAAAATTTTAGGGAATTTAACACGTGAAGAGATACAAATCAAGTGATGTATATGTTGCAGCTTGTATACTGTATGTTGTAGTAAATTTCGGGATGGTTACGTTTAAAATAATAATTTACAGTCTTGTTTGAAAGAAAATACACGTTTTTAAACCATGAAAACAATTTAAAAATAGCCATTACGCTATTAAATACTTCACGATGAATGAAGTGTAGCAATTGTGATTGATTGCACAATGCAGAATGAGTAATGAAAATTCAATTATTTGAGAAATGTGAGTATAAGAGATGAAGATTACATACTTAAATTGCAATTATTCTATTCAACAGGAAGAAAAGAATATAAGAAGAATTGATAATTGATAAATATATTTTTATTTTTTAGTATTTCTTTGATGTAGACATTCGAGAAGGATGCTGCAAAATTCCTTCTTTAATTTCATTATCTGTCTTTATTCTAATGTGGATTTAGTTTCACTTCTTGTTGAAAGTTTAAATATTAATTAAATAATGAGAAAAGGAACAAAGTAGACATCATTACATATAGGTCTAGTAAGTGTTAGAGAGGAAGAGAGAATGTTTTCAATTGTTTATCCCGCATAAGGGCTGGTACGTGTCAAATGTCACAACTGTCTACAGCCTCATTTCGTAGAAATATTCCAATCTTCGCTCCAATATTCACCAGAAATTACGTGATAAATGTCTTTTAATGCCTGTTCCCATGTTGTTTCATCACTAAACTTACTCGTATTTAGAGACTCTTAAGGGAAGAGGAAAATCGTTGCAAATCAAAACCGAATCCTAATCTACTCTTTTTTTTTTTCTTACAGCGATTCTCTAATTAAAATTATACTTAAATTCTCAAACTAACTGGCTTTTTGAGCTTCGTAATTGTTTTCGATAAGCATAAATAAGGCAGTAACGCAAACAGGATACGGTGCGTGGTAAAAGATTCGAACCCTTCAAGGACGAAAAACGAACATTTTATCTAGCTAATTGGCCGATAATTGAAAATATAAAGTGAAAGAGTTAAGGAAATAAACACGAGCAAACTTACATTCGTCTGACAACTTCCCTTCATAAATAATCGNTTTAATTTATTTAATTTAAAATATATGCTTTCCACCTCAAATTAGCAGTGGCTTGCCCCTGTACATCATACTTTTCCTTTAACAATAGAGTCGTGCAGGTCATCTACGTAACTCCTTTCAGGAGAAAAGTTTTGTATTGAAACAACGTAACTTCCAGTTTGTACCTAAAGCTTTTATATAATCGGTTAATCGGGCCTCCTGGCCCTACGTTTTTCGTATCTGTCTCAACTTTCATGTATATAACACCGTTCTCGAGATTAAGAAAAGACAGACGGACGGACGGACAACAGTGCGAATTTATAGGTATACAATTTTTTCAAATTGCAGCCCAAAAGTAATAAAACTTTTTTAAAGCTAAAATTCTTTTCTTAGAAAAAAAATTGAAATTTTATATAGTTTCTTCAACAAATTTTACAAATACACATTTAGTAGCTCGTTATTAATACAACCAACAATAACACTGCCAGAAAAAAAATTGAAATTTTCTCTAGTTTCTTCAACAAATTTTACAAATACACATTTAGTAGCTCGTTATTAATACAACCAACAATAACACTGCCAGAAAACATCCCAATTAACTGTTGCTCCTAGTCAAAAGGACAATCGGTTATTGTAGATCCTGTTGTAAAGAGAATACGTAGATAATTACAATCTAAATAAACGGTTATTGCTTGTTTGTATGGAATAAAAATAGCAATAACTAAGTAGATATTGAGAAGTGAGCCCCAAAAGTAGGCACGTTTATAACAGGAAGATCGCATTAGTAGGAGTTTCGCGACGATCTAACACAGTGCAATACATTGCAGCAATACAAATACAGAAAAAAAATTATATTTTACTTCTTAAAATATTTAGGTAACGAAGAAAATAAAGCACAACTTACCTATTTTCCACACTCAAACCGGAAAGATTTCAAATGCCTTCTGTGACGACCTCACATTCTACTGACAAAACACGTTTTGACACTTCCAAGAAGTAGTCGTGAGCTTTTTTTATATAATTTAAATAATAATGTGAGGGTTCAGAGGACGAATAGAATTTATTAAACACTCGAAAGATACATTTTCCATCGCCCAATTGGAATTTAGTACGACGTTAAACACTTTTAATTACATAAATAATTTAACAATTATAAGCCATCCACATACACTTTAAAATTCAGTAGAGAAAATGGTGTGTGTGCTACAGTCTAAATAGTTAATTATTTGAAAAATATTAATGAAAATAATAAAGAGATTCTTAACAGAAAGACTAATTTGATGAAGTTTTGTATAAGAGTATTGATTTTCTATGGAAATGATAAATGAATTCCACATAGAGGTGAAACAACTGACCATTAAAATTTTAGTACCTGGAAGAATTTAAGGTCGAGGTTTCTGCACGTGTCCTTCACTAGTCTGATAGTTGTATCAGGTCATTGCTTGGAGACCTTGAAGTTGTGTAGCTTGTGTTTATTAATTGTATCTGTGTATTTTTCTTCCTATTTAAAGAATTCTACCATAGCAAATGCCATAGAAAAAGCCTGAAATAGCTACCATCCTAATTAGCTATTTCAGGCATTTTTGTACAAAAAATATTGTCAAATCTGAAGAATAATTGAACACTTTCTAATACCTTTATATTCTTATATGATAAATTATATGGAATCAATGTTTTTCAAATTTTGAATGTCTTTCTGAATGAAACTTCTAAATTTAGTTTCATAAATTTTCTGTATAAAATACAAATTTAAGCTGTTTTAATACTTTCTATATAGGCTAATTCATTAAAATTAATTTTAATATTTCATAATATAGATTAACAGGTGATCTTCCAGTGTTTGAAACTAAACTACAATATTATATAAGGAATTTAATAAAAATTATTTTATTTATTCATATTTCTTTTTCTATTTTAATAATATATATATACAGTACATACAAACAGAACTCGTGGAGGATACGGATACAAAATTAGGTCATAAGTTGTAAAAATAGTGTGTTTTTTTTTTTCAGGTAAACTCTTCCGTGTAAAAGTCTAGCATAAAAGTTGCGATTTTATTTAAAATATTAATCAATAAATTGGATTTGTTTGATGTGACAGACAAGAGACATGTCTGCTCTCTCACAAGGTTTGATTACCGAGTTATGACATTTGTGACTAGACAAAAATAATATTCTCCCACGGTACCACAAATATATTTTCACTGGGTGAAAGAAGACATCAAATATTCATTTAAAATTTCTTTCAAACTGCATAAAAATATATACAATCTTATATTAATATTTAATAAACTTATCTAACTTGTAAAACTTAAAATAGCTCAAGTTGTACGCACTGAGTTGCTGTTCGATTCAACAATACTAATGGATGCCTTAACTTGATTTTAGTTTATGAAACAACAATTATACCAAATGTTCCTGGGAATAAAAAAGTCAATTCAGTCCTCTAGCACCCACGACCATTTTGATGGAACTATATAACCACTTAAACATTATTCGTGATAAAAATGGGCACACAATCTTGACAGATTTCAACGTACAACTGCTACACTTTCTGTTCACTTCTTTTCCATTCATAAATGTACTTTAACAAATATTCTTATCAATTAATTTACTTCTATTTATTAACAACTCTGACTAGATATTCTGGTCATTCGCCGGTATATACAAACTAAGTGACAAATCTGGCCTTCTAGTATACGAAGAGTTATAGTTGAGTACTTTATTATTCCAAATTGGAAAATGTTTTGATGTAAGGTTGTAAAATTTTAAACTGTTCTTCAGAAATCACATAGTTGTAAATGTTATTGTAATAGTTAACTTGAAGAGCTACACTTGTTTCCTTTATATTATTTTGTAACTCTCTGGTAACTACATCTTTTTCGATGTTTATAAAAAAATCAATATCACCAAATTTTCGTCCACTAAAATAAATTTTAAAGTTTTTCCACTCTCTTCTGGTGAATAAATGTATCAAACAGTTGGCGAATGCACAAATGTCAATGAAATGAATAGTTGCGTTATTAAAATGGAAATGCTCTCCAAACTTGACAGGGTAATTTGCCAAATTATTTGACTGCTCCATAATAATGATAATTTCCAATTTGTACAGATCAAAATTATCGTGAAATTTTACCAAATCCTCTATGCAACTTTCATCGGTATAATCAGGATAAAGGATTAAATAAACTCTAGGAAATGGTAAAACTTTTAGTAAGTTTATAATATCGTCGGTCTCATCTAGATAAAATGTTACTTTCAACTTTGAGCATATAACCTTTCTATTGTTTTCATTCTTTATTTCTTTAGAAATGCGTATCATGTCATAGGAAGTATATAAATTCCTACTTACATATTCTAATAAATTAGAATGAAATATATCATTATCGGAGAGACCAAATAGAAATATTGTAGTTTGAAAACTGATGGAACAAATACACATTTTACTTTTCAAAACATCGTAAAGATATAATGCAGAAAGAAATTCTTTAAAGGTACGATGTACAAAATCGTAAGAGATCTCGTCTTCCCTTTCGTCGAAATGATCGAAAAATAAGATTTCCAGACCGAGAATGAATTCTTGGTCTTCTTTTTCAGGAAATTCCTCTTCTAAATACTTAGATGTGATCGGATGCTGAATAGTATTCAGTGCTAATTCTCCTAAACGAATTAAGAGATCCTCCCCCGTGAAATATTTTCCTTTCTTCAACTTTTGATTTTCACCATTCTTTTTAATATATCTTTTAATAAACAGAGAAAAAATCTGAACAAACAAATCTGTCTCACTCTGTATTACATTTAATGCATTATTCATATGGAGACAACATAACATGTGCAACATTAGTGGGCCTTGTGCTAATTTAGAATAAAACTTATTGTAATTTAACACTTGAACCATGTCCTCACTTTTGTCAGAATCATCTTGAAAGACTATCCTGATATATGTTTCTTTCTGTTCGTCTGAAAGTCCTCCAAGACTGAATCGATACATGGCATCTTCTCTTATTTCTTCCGTAACGTGTGGACGGCTGGTAACCAAAATCGTCATCGTAAGTGAAATCTCGAAAGAGTCTTCTCGAATAAAATTCAAAACCGAAGTTCTGTTGGAAATCTCATCAAAACCGTCCAAAATCACTAAAATATTCAAATTAGCTTGTGGTAATTTTGTTTTAAACTCTTCTTTTCTATTTTGAAAGATTGCATGAAGCACTTCGTCCATTAAGCTTTTTTTGTTAAGATGGCGCAACATTACTACGACTACAAAGTAGAATTGTTTCAAATAATTTTCATATTCGACAATCGTAGCCCAATCGTATGCTAATTTCTGACAGAGGGTTGTCTTACCATATCCGGGATCTCCTGTCAGTAGAACTGTTTCGTGTCCTGTTTTGTCTACACGGAATAAGTCTTCTAACCGAATACTTCTTTTAACTTTACTTCCCAGTAAATTTGTTTCATTCATAATTAACTGTACGAAATAATCCCTCAATGAAAAGTCCTTCCTCTTTCCTTCCCAGAAAAGAGATCTCATATATGCATTGTGTGTTGCGTAACGGTTCTTTAATCTCTCTCTATACATCAGGAATGAATCTGAAATTAAAATAATTTCATGTAAATGATGATAAAATATTTTAACTATAGAAATAATTATTTCTTTTAATGTTAGTGTACAAACAAGACATTAAATTTTTCTTTATTCTATCCATTTCAGTTTTGAATTCAACTGCAAGAATTATTACAACTTGGTATAAATTACAAAGGAAGATTGAAAAGTCAGTTAACTGCTTCTGAAGAATTAAAAGGTAATGCAGATTTTCGTAAAACAATCTGTACAGAATTGCATTAAAGCACTGTATTTTATTTCTTCAATAACTTTTGCAATGTTACTAAAAGAAAATTATATATCAATGTGAATTTGAAATGTGATAATGTGCTGGAAACTTAAGCAAATTTCAATTAGTTTATCAGCCTCCTCCATTAACCTGTCAAGTATTCAAAATCTTCCAAAAAGAATGATAAAGAAGCCAAGAATTGAATAGAACGGAAATCATCTATTGAATCCTGTTCTTTCAACAGGCTGCTTGAAGAAGTGTCTGTGTAGAAAGACAAAAGTACTCATATTTTTTACACTTTCTGTTGTTAATTTATTACAATGAAGCATTGATATGGACTAATTGGGGCTGGATCCTACCTGGATTTTCAAATATATTATAAACTAGCATTTTACAAACTAAAATTTTTAAATACATTGTAATTGAAGTTTAGGTGTTCTAAGTTCAAGCAAGCATTTTACAAGGAAATGTAGGAATACTTACAGACTCAAAATATAATTTATATAATCACTATATTTAAGCAAAAATACATTAATCATAATTTCAAAATGAAAAAGTTAGAATTATGAATGAGCAACAACACAAGATCAAAAGAAAAAAGAAAAACAAAGTTACTATTGAAAGGGTTAACTTTGACTAAAAACAGCAACAAATCCAGGCAAATTAGACCAGGAATTTTTCATGTTAAACCCTGTCCCCATGTGTACAGATATCTTCAAGGAATGAAGAGGAAAAATCTTTAGTATAAATGCACAAAATTCAAATGAAAAATTTGTATACTGTAAATTATGTGTATATGATGGTTCAAAAGTCAACCAGTGTAAAGACGAAATTGCTTCTTATTCAAATACACTCTGTTGCAAAACAATTGATATATTTTAAAGTTGACGTCCAATGGTACTCAAATTCTGCATGCAGAATTCGATACTATTATTTTTCCACTACCATTCTGCATGTAGAATGGCAATCAATAAATAAAAAATTCATTACAACATTACAGCATAAAGATTCATTATTAAAAAACAGTTTCTACACAAATCATGACAAACAGCTTGGTAATTAATGCAAACTGATCAATGTCGGAGACGACTTTACAGCTTACTAATACACAATATGATTTTTTTATTATTTTACTATCATTCCATATGGAGAATTTGGTTAGTATTGCATGCCAACTTTATGATGCACAGTGGCACACCCAAGAGGTGGGCCATGGGGCCCTGGCACCCCCAAAGTAAAAGGAAAAGAAACACTAATAAATTTTCCAAAAATATTTTCTAATTAATTTAAAATTCATTTTTTTTTATTTATGTTGTGTCTATTTCTCTATTACTTATGAATTAGCCATCACATAAGGTGGGAATTTTATTGAGATTGTATTACGAATTTTTTTATCCATTCAACTTAGCTCTCCCAAGATTAAATCTTCAGTGCATCATTGATGGTGCATGAGTTTTTTGCAAAAGAGTATACTTTATTACTTATATACTTTGCAAAATTAATTGAAAAAATATAATTACATGACTTTTACGTCACTTTGTATGCACATAGTAAACTCACTTCAAAGACAATTATGGAACCAAGACAGCTGTCCATTATAGAGAAATGTCTGTCCAAGAGAAGTTTTGTAAAACTACGTCTAAATGAAGTTTGCACTATTTTAACTGCTTAGTTTGTTTACATAATCAATACCTGTATATATGAAGCTATGAAGCAAAAATGACACTTGCTAAATTACTTTTGCTGAACAGCTCAATTGGCAACCAATTCAGGTTTCATTTTAGCAGGGCTGTGGAGTCGGAGTCGGATGGTAAGGAAAAGTCGGAGTTGGTAGATCTTTACGTGACTTCCACTACGCTGGCAGGGCTGTTGAATCGGAGTTAAAGTTGGAGTCGTGGAGTTTTGGTGTTTTAGCCGGAGTCGGAGTCGGATGATAAGGAAGAGTCGAAGTCGGAGTTGGAGTTGGTAATTTTTACGCGACTCCACAGCCTTGCATTTTAGCCATCTTTTTGCTTAAGACATGTTTGATTGATATATATAACAGTCTCTATTGCTGACTGGCTACTTAGAAAAATTTAAATTCATCATAAGCGACACAAGAATTTAAAAAGATCATAAAATAACAGGTATGACTGAATAAATTAAAAAATAGTTAATGTATAAGATTATTTAAAAGTTTATTTATTTTAATAATATATATTAATAAAACACTTGCCAATTGTTTTTAAATCTGGATTCAAAGAATTAGAAGATTCTGCATGATGACAATGAAATTCAATTTTAGGACCAACATGAACAGAATGACATTGCTTTAACATAACTGGAGCAGCACTACTTTTTTCAGCTGAAATAAGAATAATTTTAATTGACACACATATATTTAGATAAGTCTTCAGCTTATGAAATGAATTTAATAATAGAATAAATTTAATTAATATAAAGTTAAATTTATTATTAAAATTTCTAAAAACACGTTAAGCTAGAAATTTCGCACAGAAAATTACATTAGAAATTAATATAGTTGTTTTACTAAACAGTGGTTTAAATATTTTATAATTTGATATGGCGAAAAAACAGAGAATTTAATAGGAAATTTAGTGTACAATGATCATTTAAATCTAATTAGTTTCATTATTATTATGTTTAATTTACTTTAATAAGCAATAGTTCAATTATGTTCTTTTGTGATTAATGCTAAAAAAGCTTTAAATTATTTAATAATTTTTAAATTGTTATTCTTTTACCTCATTTCACATTAATGATTTCATGTTCATGTATTTTTAATAATGTCATATGTAAACTTTCCATATGTATTATGTGTTATAACATATTTGTTTATTTATTATCTTATTTACAATAGAAAACGTCTATGACAATGGGTTTCCTCCCTACATTAACAATAGAACAATAAAAACTCCTAACAAATATTAAAATACAATGTATGGCAAAATAATTAAAGCTTATAACATAAAAAGTACAATAAATACAACAAAACATTGTTCTTTAGAGATTTTTCTTAGAAAGAAGGGAGCAGCCATAGACAAGATTGATAAACATTAATCTATAATGGATTGAAAGCTAGTGAAAAAGATGGAGCATAGAACAATTTTGGAAGAAATAGAGTGGCAAATATACCATGGAATTCTATGCCGGATTGAATGTGATTTGTTTACTCTATCTATGTCACATTTGAATGTGAGTTTATTGTCAAAAATGATGTTAAGATCGCTTACTTAGTTGATATATTTAATTTTTGCATTATAAATAATAATGAGTAGAATAGGATAGTCCCTGTTAAGCAATAAGCACAAAGCAACAGTTTTTTGGATATTAATTTTTAGATTGGCTCTTTCAACTAGATGAAAAACAGTTTGAAACATAAGAGAATCATGACAAATTAATTTAATATCTTAGGTGTAATCTAGTACTAGGCCTATTAGCTACAGTTTAAGTGTAAAAATAAATAATAGTAATCTATGTTTGTGTAATTAAATCAAACACATATATTGTATGAACTACATATGGGCATCACTGATTAAGATAAGGGAGCTTAGCCCACCACAGCTGACCTTTAATGTTAAATAAATAATTTAAAGAATAAATAAATGTATTCAGCTACTTTTAATAGCTATTATCAAGTTACACATTATAATTCTAGAATTCTAGGATTTGAATGTTAAACTTTTTAAACATTATACTAAAACTTAAATATTCTTGATATTATTCCTCCATTTAAATGATGAGAAATGGTTGCTAAAACCAAAACATGCTTATTAATCTAGTTTTTTTTTTTTTTAATTTTCTGCTCTAGATAAAGCATTTTGGGTGAATTTGTACAAATAATTTACAAGACAGTAAAAAACAATAATTGTAATATATACAGTCAGAAGATCAAGGAAAAAAAGCCATCAGCAGAGCACTCTGATGGATCTGGCTTTGTACCCAAATTACGTTCTCAGAAATTTTCATGGATGCTTTATTATCTGGTTGTCCCATTGGAAGCCCACTAGTGGCCAAGTGGATCAAGTTGATTGAAAGTCTGTACTTGACCAATGGGCTGGCTGCATGAAATTTTCTGTGTTTTCTTTATTTATGTTAACACCTGAATGGAGCCCATTTCCATTAAAACTCTAGAAGGCTCTTCCCATTGGCAGATCAGCTACAAGTTACCATTGACACATCCCACCAAACCGAACCATGTTCCATTTTGAGCCTAGCTCAGGCATGGCCAACATATGGCCTGCCGGCCAAATCCGGCCCATCTAATGAATTTATATGGCCCGCATCCAATCTTTCAATATTAGCTACTGAAGTCCGAAGTCTGAATAGTTCGATGAAAAATTCTGATGCCTAAAAGAAAAAAAGAAAAAGGTCAACAACTCACTGCATTTAGAGTTAACCCTCCATTACAAATCTCGTAAGTACAGCGTAGAGTGTTGATAAAGCATGATAATGTAAAAATGTATCTGTAATCTCTATCTACAATTCAGTCTCTACGGGGTGACACCACAATGAGATCTTGCACCACCTCAAAATCTTCCTGGGCAGCCTCTGGTTCGACCCATGGAAAAAGTTTTCTTTCCAATTCGGCTTGGGGGCAAAAACTGGCCTAGCTCAATCCAAGATGGATGTGAAAAATGACCTTCTACGAGTTTGCAGGCAATAAAATTGTACAGGATGATATAACAAAGCAGTTACATATGAGAGTAGAGTTGATGAAACTAGGAATCAGTGGCAGTGATAAATGAGACAGGCATCACTGATTTATTTATCTGGAATTTCAAATATTAGTTCTTGAGTCAAAAATTAATAAACAGTCAAAATATGAATGTTACAAGTAACAAATTGGACAATAATCATAGCCAGCTTTCAGCATTGCTAATTCTTGCAAATAAACTTATCATTTAATCATTCAGTATTTATAGTTTAAATTTCTTGCATGTGATTCAGTTTGCAATCAATACAGATAAATCTCTATTTTAAACACCAGAAATATTAATAAAGCATTCAATTATTTTAATTTATAAACAGAGATTTACTTACCATTTAAAATTGTTTTAGATATGTAATATGTACTCATAGTGTGTTATTTCATTTAATCCCTAAAAATATATTAAAACATTTCATTAGCAGCAGTAAAGATTAAATTAATTAATTAACGTTCTAAATTACTATCCTCTAATGTTATTAAAGAAAAAAATAATTAGCATAATAATAACATCATTGAATATACTACTGCAAGAAAATTGGATAAACTGACTATTAACTGACATAATAAAGTAACAGCAATGATCAATTGGAATCATTGCTCACAGCATAGCAAGCCTTGATAAATCTTAAATAGAAAAAGTTATTTAAGCTAAGGAAAGGCAGAAGAAATACTATTAAATTTTCAAATACAGACCCTACCTTACTCATTATCAGAACACGTTAATAGAAAAAATGGGGTATGGATTATAGATTGACAATTCCAAGTGATAGCAAAGAGAAGGAATTGGAAAAGTCACTAAGTATAAACATTTTGCAAAAATAAGTTGTATAACTTTTATTAACATTTTCAACTATATTCAAAGATATTCTTCATGCTGTTAAATGTGTTAAAATTTCCTAAACTTGTAAACTAGTGGAACTGTGTATCCAGTCGTCGTGAATTTGAGTAACAGTAGTAAAAGTCATATCCAACCTACAGTATACAGTAGTGGCTAAAAGTAGAGCTAACCTTGACGTGTTTTAAAAATGTGACCTCTATTTTGTTTACCACCTACTACATAATTAATATTGTGATGGCTGAAAATAGCACCAAAAAAAAGTCAAAATACTCAATTGAATCAAACAGATTTTATTTTAAATCTGATTTATAAAAGAAAAGACAAAGTTTTTATATTTTACACTGTGACAAAAGTAGAGCTACCAAAGGAAGTATGAAGATTTGTCCAGTATTTTTAGGACAAAATATCAGTATTTTGTGGCTTAATCAGAGCTTCTGATCACTGAATCGCATCTACATTCCATTGAATCAACTAAGTTGTCAAACAGTGATTTGATAGTCTCATAGTTAATTCAATGGAACGTAGATGCGATGCAGTGATCAGAAGCTCTGGTTAAGCCACAAAATACTGATATTTTGTCCTAAAAATACTGGACAAATCTTCATACTTCCTTTGGTAGCTCTACTTTTGTCACAGTGTAAAATATAAAAACTTTGTCTTTTCTTTTATAAATCAGATTTAAAATAAAATCTGTTTGATTCAATTGAGTATNACGCCAGGAATATAGGATCATTGTAAAATTATAAAAATTATGCAACAAACTTCAAATTTATTCATAAAAAGACATGAATATGTACAGAGTACATATTATCATTTGTTTATTTGGTTATCTGGATCTGTAGAGGGTTTTTTTTCCAGGTAACGGAGATGACGACAATGAAATAAAAGTTGTAGCTTCAAGGGCGGAGGTCTTGGATGTAGCAGTCGAAAAGAAACTCATAACTGTGGTTTGCGTTGTAATGTTTTTTTCTTGATAAATTTCTCTATAGCACTTCAAAAGTTCACTCATCCCATGTTCAACTTTATGTTAAAATGTTCAGTATTAGGATCCATAGCCTCAAATTCCAACATAGCCGAATTAATTTTGGAGAACACACCAGCTAACCCATGTACCATGAATTTCTTTTTTACTTCTTTAGTTCTTTCGTCTTCTTCCTCTTCCAAATACTGCATCGCTTCAAACTCTATTAAATCTTCATTTGCTAGCTCTCTATCGGCATAATCCACTAATGTCTTCCACTTCAACATCTAAATTAAGTGCATTGGCAAGGCCTGCAATTTTTTAAATTACATTAAACTGACTAAAAAAAGTCCATAGCAAGCCTATACTAAGCTCAGTGAGTGTGTCACCAATCGCCACTGATTGACACTCAAGCTGAGAAAGGGGATTTCCCGAACTACAGGTCTAAACTCAATTGGTCGTAAGTGCGAGTGGTTGTTAAGCAGATAGGTCGTAAAGTGAGGAGTACCTACAGAAACTTAATTTTTATGTCCAAAAGAATAAGGAACATCTCATCAATTAATTCACATATACATATAAACAAACAGACATTTTTTACTCATATAATAGTTCAACAAAGTAAGTTACATGTAAAGTTTTGTTGTGAAGATAACTGATTATATTCTGCATCTTGTAATAATTTTTAATCTCAACTTTAAGCAGTTTTTATATAAAGTAAATATTCATTTGTCACCTCATAAATATGTAGACTTATAATATTTTTTTCTCAAATCAGGACAATTTTGAGAAAATACTCACAACAGGAAATAAAGCCTACTAGGATAAGTACCTATGAATGATTTTAGAATAATTCCTGTTGAATATTTTAAAAAATTTCTTTGTAATAATATAATTATTAAAACAAATAATCCACACTAGAGGACTTTTTATATATTTACATATGAGAAGGGAAAGAAGAGTCTCTATAAATAAGTCAATTCTGCTAATGTTAATTGTGTTCTGATGATTGTGAATGTGTGTGCCAAAGACTTACATTATGATAATTGATAATCATCAATATCATAACATGAGTAGTTTATCTTCTATCAATTATAATTTAAATATAATTGCTATCCATATTACCTATGCCCCTCAAAGTAAGGAAGTCAACCTTGGCATAGCCTAGTAGCCTGAAACGTCAGTCTGTTGATGGAATGCAATGTTCGACTCTATGGTTCAAGAGGTGTCAGAGATATCAGAGGTTCTTGGTCTGTATACCACATCTGATATAGCTTGTTGTTTGATAGCCATATTCCTGTCTGTTGCCTTCCATCAAATTTTTAAATTTCTAGCCAAACTGGGATCTG